AACCGGAGCCCGCCAGTTGTGTGAACTGGAACCCGTCAGTTGAGTACCTGGAGCCTGCCCCGAGCCCGACCGAGAACCCACCCAGAGCCCTACCGAGAACCCACCCTGATCCCTACAGAGAACCCACCCCTAGTCCTACCATGAAAACACCCTGAGCCCTACAGAAAACCCACCCTGGGCCCGACCAAGAACCTACCCCGAGCCCTACAGAGGTACCCCAAGCCTGAGAGCCCATCCCGAACCTGAAAGAGCCCACCCTGAGCCTGACCAGGAGCCAACCCTAAGTCCTACCAAGAACCCACCCCGAAGCCCTACCAAGAACATACCCGAAGCCAGACAGACACCCACCCGGAGCCCGAACAGTCACCCACCCGGAGCCCGACCAGTCAAACACCCGGAGCCCGCCAGTTTAATAAACCGGAGCCCGCCAGTTGAGTGAACCGGAGCCCGCCAGTTGAGTGAACTGGAACCCGTCAGTTGAGTACCTGGAGCCCGCCCCGAGCCCTACCGAGAACCCACCCCGAGCCCTACCAAGAACCCACCCCGAGCCCTACAGAGAACCCAACCCCCCCGAGCCCTACCAAGAACCCACACCCCCCCCGAGCCCTACCAAGAACCCACGCCCCCCCCCCCCCCGAGCCCTACCAAGAACCCACCCCCCCCCGAGCCCTACCAAGAACCCACACCCCCCCGAGCCCTACCAAGAACCCACACCCCCCCGAGACCTACCAAGAACCCACACCTCCCCGAGCCCTACCAAGAACCCACACCCCCCCGAGCCCTACCAAGAACCCACACCCCCCCGAGCCCTACCAAGAACCCACACCCTCCCAAGCCCTACCAAGAACCCACACCCCCCCAAGCCCTACCAAGAACCCACACCCCCCCAAGCCCTACCAAGAACCCACACCCCCCCAAGCCCTACCAAGTACCCACACCCCCCCAAGCCCTACCAAGTACCCACACCCCCCCAAGCCCTACCAAGAACCCACACCCCCCCCAAGCCCTACCAAGAACCCACACCCCCCCCCCCCAAGCCCTACCAAGAACCCCCCCCCCCCAAGTCCTACCAAGAACCCACACACCCCCAAGCCCTACCAAGTACCCACACCCTCCCAAGCCCTAGCAAGTACCCACACCCCCCCCCCCCAAGCCCTACCAAGAACCCACACCCCCCAAGCCCTACCAAGAACCCACCCGAAGCCGGACAGACACCCACCTGGAGCCCGAACAGTCACCCACCCAGAGCCCGCCAGTTGAGTACCTAAAGCCTGCCCGGAGCCCCGACCGACAACCCACCCCGGAGCCCCGACCGACAACCCACCCCGGAGCCCCGACCGACAACCCACCCCGGAGCCCCGACCGACAACCCACCCCGGAGCCCCGACCGACAACCCACCCCGGAGCCCCGACCGACAACCCACCCCCCGGAGCCCCGACCGACAACCCACCCCGGAGCCCCGACCGACAACCCACCCCGGAGCCCCGACCGACAACCCACCCCGGCCGGAGGCCCGACAGAGAACCCACCCCGGAGCCCGACAGAGAACCCACTTGGGGCCCCGACAGAGAACCCACTTGGGGCCCGACAGAGAACCCACTTGGGGCCCGACAGAGAACCCACTTGGGGCCCGACAGAGAACCCACTTGCCCGGGCCCGACAGAGAACCCACTTGGGGCCCGACAGAGAACCCACTTGGGGCCCGACAGAGAACCCACTTGGGGCCCGACAGAGAACCCACTTGGGGCCCGACAGAGAACCCACTTGGGGCCCGACAGAGAACCCACTTGGGGCCCGACAGAGAACCCACTTGGGGCCCGACAGAGAACCCACTTGGGGCCCGACAGAGAACCCACTTGGGGCCCGACAGAGAACCCACTTGGGGCCCGACAGAGAACCCACTTGGGGCCCGACAGAGAACCCACTTGGGGCCCGACAGAGAACCCACTTGGGGCCCGACAGAGAACCCACTTGGGGCCCGACAGAGAACCCACTTGGGGCCCGACAGAGAACCCACTTGGGGCCCGACAGAGAACCCACTTGGGGCCCGACAGAGAACCCACTTGGGGCCCGACAGAGAACCCACTTGGGGCCCGACAGAGAACCCACTTGGGGCCCGACAGAGAACCCACTTGGGGCCCGACAGAGAACCCACTTGGAGCCCGACAGAGAACCCACTTGGAGCCCGACAGAGAACCCACTTGGAGCCCGACAGAGAACCCACTTGGGGCCCGACAGAGAACCCACTTGGAGCCCGACAGAGAACCCACTTGGAGCCCGACAGAGAACCCACTTGGAGCCCGACAGAGAACCCACCCCGCGCCCAACCTTTCATGGAGAAAATTGAACACCAGGCGACAAAAATAATTGCAGAATGAGGTCTAGTTTCATACCATGAACGGTTGAGGGTCACAGGGCTAACACTGCAAACTAGGCATGCCAGGATGGATCTCACCGAAACTATTAAAATATCGACTTGAATCGACTTGAGAATGGTCCAGGACGGACCGAAACTCGTCGTCCCTTCAACTTCTAGTGTGTGGTCTGGTCAACATACTTCAGCCACGTTATTGTGACTCTTCGCCTGCCTATTAAAATATTGAACAGTTTCGAAGATATGGATCCAGAGAACAACTTCAAAAGGTCAGATGGAACACAAACAAGGAACAACGGTTTCAAGTCCAACAAGCCGCAGTGTAGGACTGAAAACATAAGCTATATTTTCACCCACAGAGTTATAAACCCATGGAACCGCCTATCTGCTAAAGCAGTAAATAACATAACACTTGAGTAGTGTTAAGACACTAGCCTGGCGTTGCGCGAGCGCTATGTCATGGGTTCGTAACCTGGCCGGGGAGGATTTACTGGGCGCAAATCCTTAACTGTAGCCTCTGTTTAACGCAACAGTAAAATGTGTACTTGGATGAAAAAACGATTCTTCGCAGCAGGGGATCGTATTCCAGGGATCATAGGATTAAGGACTTGCCCGAAACGCTACGCGTACTAGTGGCTGTACAAGAATGTAACAACTCTTGTATATATCTAAAAAAAAACATTGATAGGCATTGTTCGAAGTAAGCTCCATACGCGAAACCCCATTATATTATATAATTCTATATACTGTGTATATATAAGATATAAATATGTCAAAAAGAATTATCACTCTTACCTGGAGCAATGTTGCTGATGTCGGAAATCAGCGAGACATGTTGTCGCGTTGGCGGCACCGACGGTACTGACCGCTGAGCCTTCAAACGACCAACCGCCGTTTGAACGCCATTTTGAAATTCCAGGCGTACTACCCGAAAAGTGCGTAAACTAGTATTTGCGTGCATTATAGGCCATTCCAAGAAACCTTATTGCTATGAATATCTTGTTATCTAACAAACGAATTATTTATGTTAATATTTTTAGCACATATGTTAAATTAGGCCATTTTTCATTTAGAGGGGGTATATATATATAGCTATATTTACATTTTAAGTTTGAAAAATTACCGTACAAAATTGAATGCAAAGATAAGATAAGATTTATTTATACAACCCTGTTTGGAAATTAACTCCTTTTACAATGAAATAAGACGCAAATAAGAACCTCAATTGTGTAGTGAATTTTTAGTTTAGTTCATTTATTATGCACCCCATACCCATCTTGTGGGCGGTAGTGGAAAGGGTTACAGAGGCACATAATGGGCTCAGGGACTGAACCCCACAATTCATTTAGCTAAGCAAGTTACAATCTTGATGAGCTAGTTACAAAATTCAATATAAGTCATCACATCAACAATGGATTCGAGATCGACCTCAAGTACAGGTTCTAAATTAAGCAACTGACATATGTGGAGAGATAGTGTCACAAGTTATATGTTTGTCCTGCACACCGCCCCCCATCCAGTGGGCAGCGGTGGATAGGTTACAATCACTTAGTTACTACCTACAGTTAGCAAACTGGGGATATTTGGCTAAAATTTCTGGTAGCAGATCATTTTGAATGAATTTATGCATTTTGTTTTGATTAAAAGCTTAGGTAGTACAATGTACTACTTCTACTACTAATACCATATTATATATGAGGGGCTACTAAATAAAATTAAAGCACAAGCATGTTCACCTAATATCATTAGCTGACAGGTGAAATAATATGAAAGTCGGAAACTATTTGATTCTCTCTTAGAATTTCTACTAATCCTTTCTTTCGTCGAGACCAATATATGTCAGTGACCCCTCAGATAAATTTCATTTGCAGAAATCAAATTACAGGTAGGGAATCTTTAACAACAACAACAACCTACCTTACCCCTAAATGTCAACCCATGTCTTACTATTTTTAAACAATGCTGTTTGTTGACCAACTTGTATATTGGCTATTTTCTACCATGTTCCCCTTTTTTATCTTTTGTTTTTTCTTTCAACGCAATTTATACTTTAAGCTCAATTACTATTAAGTTTTAGTCTAAGTGTTTTTTCCCCACCTCACTTTGCCCGAATCGCTATGCGTACTAGTGGCTTTAGGTATTGTATGTACTAGCTCAATCTATAAATCTAACATTATGTTTGTAACTAATTCTCTAAGTATGTACTTTTACCTGAATAAACATTTGATTTGATTTGATTTGATAAATCTAATCCATGAAGACGAGATCAGTTGTAAACGAAATCTAGCGCACAAGTACAAGAGCGTTTAAAATACTTTAACACAAAAGACATGTAGAGACAGGCGACTCGTTTCTGACATTGTTTTTATTAAATAATATTACATGTTACCTCTAATGTATATTATTATATACAAGTATAACTATCATAGTAAATGTAATGTGAGTTTACCCCAAAACTGGCCAGTGTAGTATTTTGTGCGTTCGATCGTGTTTGTGGGCTTTGGATGTGTAGTGTTTACCCCGGCGGTGTCGTTCTTATGAAGCCCGGATTATGTCCAATACATCATTCAACTATTGTCTATATATAACTATATGCCTGTTAAATAGAAGATTTAAACTGCCAATAGAATTATATTGTGGGTTTTAATATTGACCAATCACATATACATACGAAACGTAGAAATGTTTGTGTCCGAAATAGTAAAGGTATAATGGTGCGCTGCGTCTCGTGTACCAAGTGACTAGTATCCGTGGGGGGGGACGATGTTTGCCAGCTGTACCTCACGGACTCTCGCCTCCACTAAACTCCTCAAGTGTGTTGTGGTCCCGGTGGCTACCTACACCAGGTAGGCTGAGTGTGTGTGTGTGTGTGCGCCCCTGTGTTAGCCCAGCCGGTCTAGGGTAGTGGCTCGCTGACACGGGCTCTGGCCGCCTCCTAATGTAATATCTACGTTTCATGATTGCTTCTCTTGACTCTCAGTCGGGATTGCTTCTCTTGACTTCAGGCCTGATTGCTTCTCTTTGCTTCAGTCGGGATTGCTTCTCTTGACTTCTGTCGGGATTGCTTCTCTTGACTTCTGTCGGGATTGCTTCTCTTGACTTTCTGTCCGGATTGCTTCTCTTGACTTTCTGTCCGGATTGCTTCTCTTGACTTTCTGTCCGGATTGCTTCTCTTGACTTTCTGTCCGGATTGCTTCTCTTGACTTTCTGTCCGGATTGCTTCTCTTGACTTTCTGTCCGGATTGCTTCTCTTGACTTTCTGTCCGGATTGCTTCTCTTGACTTTCTGTCCGGATTGCTTCTCTTGACTTTCTGTCCGGATTGCTTCTCTTGACTTTCTGTCCGGATTGCTTCTCTTGACTTTCTGTCCGGATTGCTTCTCTTGACTTTCTGTCCGGATTGCTTCTCTTGACTTTCTGTCCGGATTGCTTCTCTTGACTTTCTGTCCGGATTGCTTCTCTTGACTTTCTGTCCGGATTGCTTCTCTTGACTTTCTGTCCGGATTGCTTCTCTTGACTTTCTGTCCGGATTGCTTCTCTTGACTTTCTGTCCGGATTGCTTCTCTTGACTTTCTGTCCGGATTGCTTCTCTTGACTTTCTGTCCGGATTGCTTCTCTTGACTTTCTGTCCGGATTGCTTCTCTTGACTTTCTGTCCGGATTGCTTCTCTTGACTTTCTGTCCGGATTGCTTCTCTTGACTTTCTGTCCGGATTGCTTCTCTTGACTTTCTGTCCGGATTGCTTCTCTTGACTTTCTGTCCGGATTGCTTCTCTTGACTTTCTGTCCGGATTGCTTCTCTTGACTTTCTGTCCGGATTGCTTCTCTTGACTTTCTGTCCTGATTGCTTCTCTTGACTTTCTGTCCGGATTGCTTCTCTTGACTTTCTGTCCGGATTGCTTCTCTTGACTTTCTGTCCGGATTGCTTCTCTTGACTTTCTGTCCGGATTGCTTCTCTTGACTTTCTGTCCGGATTGCTTCTCTTGACTTCAGTCCCAGTTGCGTCTCTTTTTGGTTCGTCAAGGGCTCGAAATGTGGCATAGTTCCAGCCTGAACATTCTACCTATTTAGTAATATATCTTTAGAGGGCATCATCTGCTCCAACACAAAACATCGTTTGTAATCGTCAACTTCAGACAGTAGTCCCCGTGGCGCAGTGGTAAGACACTCGCCCGGTGCTTCATGACCCCTTTGGCCTGGGTTCGTATCTTGCCGGGGAGGATTGACTGGGTGCCAAAACATAACTTTAAGCTCAGTTCACCCAGCAGTGAATGGGTACCTGGTTGTTAAACATTTTGGTGGGTCGTATTCTGGGGAATATTGGATTAAGGACTCTTGTATATATAAGGGGAACTATCAGGGGAAAGCACCAAGCCATTATGACTATATAGCACATAGAAGGAATTAGGATAAGGATTTGGGATGTGACGGAGGAAAGGAATGGTGCCAACCAGGGGGCCGGCTGGCCGAGCGGACAGCACGCTGGACACGTGATCCTGTGGTCCCGGGTTTGATCCTGGGCGCCAGCGAGAAACGAGGGGCAGAGTTTCTTTCACCCTGATGACCCTGTTACATAGCAGTAAATAGGTACCTGGGAGTTAGTCAACTGTCATGGGCTGCTTCCTGGGAGTGGAGGCTTGGTCGAGGACTGGGCCGTGGGGACACTAAAAAGCCCCGAAATCAACTCGAGATAACCACTTCGACAGTCGATGATTGAACACCGACCTGCATGAAGTGACTGTTGCTCCACTGTCCAGCCCAAGTGGTTGGCCGTTGTATATACAGTACTGTATATAAAAAAAGAAATAAATCATAAATTCCACAAGCTACATTTAGGGTAGTAAAGTCGTACACAGGCTGTTCACATCCCTCATTTTCTAACTCTCTAAGCTATATGGTATATTGTGTGGTCTGGCTGAATAAGGTTTGATTAGATTAGATGGGGTATGGTCCTGTCTGACACTAGACGATTCAACGAAGCTTGTTTTCAGTTTGTTAAAATTATGTATATTGCTATGCTAGGCCGTATCAGCTTAGGTTAGACTGAATTTCGCTCAGTTGGGTTAGGTTAGGTTACGCTGAGTTGGGTTAGGTTATGTTAAGATGGGTTAGGTTAGGTTACATTGTGTTCGGTTGGGTTAGGTAGATTTCAAAATGCGTTGGCAAATCCTCTTGTGTACGATGTGACTTGTATTCGATAAGATAGGTTTAATAAAAAAAAATACATCGTTAAATTCTTGGGTACAAAGTAACTGATATTCATAAAATTTTGAAGAATTTGGAAGATTTTTCAATATTCAGACTTCAGACATTCAGAGCACTTCTTTAAAATGTCAAATGTAACACAGACAAGGATCAACGGTTTCAAGGTTAACAAGCCATAATGTAGAACCGAGAAAAGGAGATGCTTTTTCACCCACAGGGTTATAAACCCATGGAGCTGCCTACCTGTTAAAGCTATAAATGTAAAAAGACTGCACCAATTCAAAATCCAGCTTGAGAAAATCATAATTTACCTTAGTTTACTAGTGACCTCGACAAGGACAGGAAGCTGTAGTTTTGTCGAACGTCCCTTCAATTGGCCTTGATGGTCTTTTCCAGTTAGACTTTAAAATTTGAGAGTTTTGGTATTTACGGCTTTGGCGGGTAGACAGTTCCATGGGTTTATAACCCTGTGGGTGAAAAAGCATCTCCTATTCTGAATCCTACATTGTGGCTTGTTGAGCTTGAAACCGTTGCTCTTTGTTACATCTGACCTTTTGAAGATATTGTCTGGATAAACATCCTCCAAATTGTTTAGTACAGTATTTTAAAAGTTTCACAGAGATATGCCCTGTTATGCCTGGTTTATGCCTGGTTGGGCGCCTGACAGCTGGGTGGACAGCGCTTCAGATTCGTAGTCCTGAGGTTCCAGGTTCGATCCCCGGTGGAGGCGGAGACAAATGGGCAAAATGTTTCTTTCACCCTGATGCGCCTGTTACTTAGCAGTAAATAGGTACCTGGGCATTAGACAGCTGCTACAAGCTGCTTCCTGGGGGTGAAGGCCTGGTCGAGGACCGGGGCCGCAGGGACACTAAGCCCCGAAATCATCTCAAGATAACTAATGTTGTTAGCCCTGTGGCCCTCAACCGTTCCTGATAGGGAGGTTGACTTAAATTATTTTTGTTGCATAGTGTTGCACTTTCTCCTGAGCAGCTGTGCCCTTCTGAAGATGTGGTCACTTTGCTTGGATACAGTAATCCAAATGGGGGGGAGCACACCAGAGATGTATACAATTGAATCACTACCGTCTTTTCCTTAAAGTTAAAGATACTGTACTATTGAGTATTCCAACGGTTGAGTTAGCCATATTTGATTGCTGCTCCAACCTGTTGTGTAAGTTTCAGTGAGTGGTGGATTTTGACTCCAAGGTCCTTTTCTTTAGGACATCACCTCAGTATAATGTATAGTATAAGGACATATAGGGGGAACCTTTGACAGGTTGCCGACTTCCTTTCCTTGTTGAGGACACTAGAGATAGTGGCCCTCGGGTAAACGTAGATAATACTGTATCTAGCTAAATGTATAAAATTTGCTCAATCTACCACACCATATACCAAACAAATGTCTGTGTTTTATTTTTCAAGGTTGATGCACTATTTAGTGCTTAACTTTGGTTAAGCAAAATCTGGGCAGTGGGCTTTCTAGCGGCTGTTTCTCAAAAAAAAAAAAAAAAAAAAAAAAAAAAAAATATATATATATATATATATATATATATATATATATATATATATATATATATATATATATATATATATATATATATATATATATATATATATATATATATATATATATATATATATATATATAATATAAACTGAATGCCAGCAGTTGGATACTGTACTAGGATTACTTCCACTGTGCATATTTAACCTAACCAGCCTTGTATTTGGTGAATATGCTGTATTTAAACTAACCAGTCTTATGTTTGTGCAGAGTTATGTTAGTTTTCAATGCTGTCTCATTTGTTGACAGAATGGAGCTATCCCATATACTGAGTTGCACTGGACTTGTAATGCTGTCCTTTCCTACTTCAATGCCAAAGAACATTTAAGTCATCCTAATTTATACTCTACTGTATTCAAACAGGTGTAGCATAGCACCCCATGAGTATAATCATACAGTATAGCACAGTATGAGCATATACTGTAGCATAGAATGAGCATATAGCATAGAATGAGCATATAGCACAGTATGAGCATATAGCACTGTATGAGCATACAGTATAGCACAGTATAAGCATATAGCACAGCATGGGCATATAGCACAGCATCCAACACGCCAGTATCAAACATGTTCACAATTCTTAGGCTGGACCAGGGGCTCATAATTTAGATGGTTTTCTAGATTCTCTTCAAAAAGGGCTGCATATTTCTATGTATTGCCAGTAAACATAAAGTACGATATATTTTTGTACCTTGATGCAATTAACATGTTTAGTGACAAGTTATAAGCTATTTTTCTTGAAGTTTTGACGATGTTAAATGTAGGAAAATTATAATAATATTAATTGATGGATTAGGCTTAGGTGAACACCTGAAGAAGTTAAGATTGAATTGGAATTAAAAATATTCAACCAAACTGATTTTCTTTCATGACTTGTTTATTTGTCTATTTTGAGTTAACTTGAAATTGTTTATTCCAGTTATGTATATAGATTTCAGAAGGTTGCAGTGATACTGTCAATTGCAAACATTCCAGTGTTGGACTGCACTGGCCAATAATTTTTTCTCCATATGGCTAATGTGTGTGTGTTGGAGGAGGGAGGGAAGGAAATTATCAGGAGAAAGTGACAAGTTATTATGAGCATATAGCACTGGGAAGGGGACAGGATAAGGATTTGGGATGGGATGGAGAGGAAGGAATGGTGCCCAACAACTTGGATGGTCAGGGATTGAACGCCAATTTGCATGAAGCGAGACCATCGTTCTACCATCCAGCCCAAGTGATTGGGCATGTATTGATGGAATGGTAGAACCAATCATGGGCAATATGGAAGCAAATAAAGATGTGATATAAGAGATAATAAAAATGAGGTATAAGAACAGGCTGAATCTAATGATGCTACTGTAGAAAGAAAGACCAGGGACATGATCTAAACATGTAGGATATTGAACTGGATAGTTGGCAAAGGCATAGTTTGAAAGGCAAAGTGGATAGTTTGTCCAAATGAGGTACAGTATAACAGAATGGTGAGGCACAGATTGTTAGATATGCTCTGTGTATTAATGATTATATAATGTACATCTCTTGCCTAGAAATTTTTCACTTGTGTGTATCAAATGCATTTACTTGTGGAAACAAAATAAAATATTCAATGATTCGGGGGTTATAAATGCAGCAAGTACAATATCTGAGAGATAGGGCCTCAGAGCTAGATCTCTCCTACATAGCCACAGCTAACTAAGCACCATGGTCTTGGATTGTTAAGTCCAGTTTTGGTTTAAAGCTCTTTTGGGCAGGCAAATTTATCAGTTATTTCTTAATACATGACAACCAATTTCTAACATTGTAGTTTCAGGATGTTACCCTTTTCAACTTGCTGCTAACCTAGCATATTTAGCATATCCTAACCGATGCTTTGCTTTCCCAAACATATCTTAGTCTAACGTAATCTAATTTAGATTAGATTTTCTCTCTGGAGCAGAGAAGAGTAACTAGGTGGGAATGGCAAGGTTCAAAATTGGATTATTCATCATAATACTCTTAACTGATTCTTAACCAAAACTAACCAATGTACTGTAACAAAGTTTCAAATATTCTAATGACATTTTATTTAAATGTATTAATAATTTGTATTACTTTCCAAAGAAAAGGTTATGACAGTAGTTAAATTACATTTAACTTTTAATGCTAATACTGTAATGTGTAGCTACTGTGTGAACATATATTTGGGTCTTAGTACTAGTATAGTAGAGTTTATTCTCAACTCAAAATCGGGAATCCCAGATTCAAATCCTGAGTGGGATGGAAATGGTTAGGCACGTTTCCTTTCACCTAATATCTCTGTTTACTTAACAGTAAATAAGTACTCGTGAGTTAGTCAACCTTTGTGGGGTTGCATCCTGTGCAAGGTCAGTAGTTTGACCTTGGGGGACCTCGCTATAAGCCTAAATTATATACTGTACAGTATAGTATATATATACACCGGCTGTCTTTCCCCCTGACAAAATGAATTACAGGTATTATAAATTAAATTTATAGTGAAACAGTTGGTGAATTGAATTTATCAGTGGATGTGCACACAAATAAACTGATAGTAACTTTAGTAAAGCTCTTTCTTTTATTTTCAGTAATTACAGATTGGCTGAAGTTGGTAAATTTGAATCTCCAAAGTTGGCTGGGAAATATGAGACAGGTCAGCTGTTTCTACATAGAGTTTTTGGCTATCGAGGAGTTGTGCTCTTTCCCTGGCTAGCCCGGGTCTACGATAGAGATGTCCCTAACAAAAAAGAATCAAAGTATGAGTAATGTGACAATTTCTGGCCATTTTATTCTTTATTGAGTTGCTTGCTATGTTTTGCCAATAATATTGCAGATTCCCAATATAAAGTATGTATAGGAATTTTTTTATACAAATACAGTATTGTATTATGTATCATTTGACATACTATACCTGTACAGTATTTTTCAGTGTTAAGTGGTTATATTCCAGACCCATAGAAGAAAGCATGAATTACAATCAAGTTGGAAAGGAAGTGAAGGGAAGAGCTCACACATATTATCAAGTTCTCATTGACTCTAGAGATTGTCCATACATTGTACGTATAATAGGTGCACATCCGCCTAATCTTCATTCATTTCTATTCTTTACGTAAACTAATGTGTTTGATACCTTAATGAATTGAACAATTTATAAATCTGTTAATGGTGTAACAAGTGATTAACTTAATATTAATGTATGTATTGACCTAGTTATACTTGTTGAGTTTGAGCGTCAGGCAGTTGAGCCACTTTTTCCCATGGAGCTTCTGAATCCTCCCAGTTAACTCCCCCTTTTGGTACTTTTGCCTTAGACTCAATCTTCCCTTCCCGAGCAGTGGGAGTGGATAGGTGCTCTGCTCTGGGGACCTTGCCTGCACTCCTCAGGGGTTTGGGGGTGTGTCCGATTGGAGCCCTTGGATTCCTTTTGACCCTTCGTGAGCCCTTGTGTCCTTTTTGCAGGGTCCTCTGTGGTGAGGTGAGGGGAGGGGTGTTCTTATCCCCCTTCCCTTTATTAGTTTGTATTAGGCAGGGCTCCTCCCAGTGTTAGTTTCCAGGTGCACTTGGGTACTCTGGTTTCGTCTTTTCGGAGGTTCTCGACCTCCCAGGTTTTCCTTGTGGAGGCTCGGGAGGCGCTTGGTGCTTACCTCCTGCGTGACCGGGTTTCGGCCTCGGTTCTGATTCGTGCCTCTTTGTCGTTCTGTTTTTTTCTACTCTTATTGGGTATGTTATGAGATTCCAGTGTCCTCTTGGCTAGCAGACTGTGTTATATATACAGTATGGACGACTGGTGTGTGGTTTTTGAGCTCCTGGAACTTTCTGATTGGCTCTCGAAGATGTGGGAGCGCTTGGTGTGGTTTCTCTTGTCAGGGTTTTTATCTCGCGCCATGCTTCAGCTGGATGCTCCGTCCTCCGGGAGGTGGTTTCCTTGCTTTTTACCTCCCAACACAGCAGACTGTGCTGGCTCATTCTTTGGAATCAGTGTGGGCCCTGGCTCTTAACCCTTAAACTGCGCAAGTCATATGATGTGTGACATTGAAGGGGGGTATAATTCTAAAAATATTTAAATTATGTAAAAATTGCTTAAAAATGTTAAACAAATCTCCAGCTTATTGGCTTCAGCTTCGTGAAACTTTCATCAAAATATTTTCACAAATTGATTTTAGACGAATATTTAAGAAAAAGAACGTTTTGTTGATAAAGAGAACAGCTCCTATTAACTGGAACTGATGGATAATGCAATAATAAAGAGATGCAAGCACCTTTCCAACACACAAAGAAGAAAAATACTGTAGTAGTAAGAAGTGTCCACAAAGTGAACATACAGCTGGTGCCTTTATAGCAATGGTGAATAATACATAATAACACAAATAATGAGTAATTATGCTATGCTCTATTTTGTTATATATCATATAAATACATTGCCCAATGTTATTATCAGTTACTTTCAACAATGTCCAAAAAATATTTTCTTTCGGGGAATATTTTTTTTATGTAGGTTTTTAGTGTTTTCCTCCTTTGTTTATTATTTGAATTTGTTTTAACCTTTACATCCTATAGAATCCATACTTGTCCCTAACTATGTGAAGCCAGAATTAAATTGGTCAACAAATAAATCAGTTACAACTCTGAGAACTTGGGACTTTGAATTTTTTCACATTTCATACTCTATTTTCCTTGTTTCTTTAGGTTGTTTAGATTAGGGACCAGATCAGGGCTTTTTTACTTATAGGGAATATATTTAGGGTATACTTTATATATCATTATAATTATTATAATTATCCCTATATGTATATTTTTTTTTTGGGGGGGGTTATTTTTTCTTCATTTCTACACACAATGACCTCTTTCACATACTTGAGTACAAATGCCAAACAATGTTTATTACAACATACAAGTAAATTCATGAATTAGAACTGCCTTATTCATTGTCGATAACTTCAAATTCAATTATATCAATTATATCTATAACTAGAATTTCAACTTCAGCATCCAAAAATCTAGTTATCTTGATGATTTCGGGACTTTTAGTGTCCCCGTGGCCCAGTCCTCGACCAGGCCTCCACCCCCAGGAAGCAGCCCGTGACAGCTGACTAACACCCAGGTACCTATTTTACTGCTAGGTAACAGGGGCATAGGGTGAAAGAAACTCTGCCCATTGTTTCTCGCCAGCACCTGGGATTGAACCCAAGACCACAGGATCACAAGTCCCGCGTGCTGTCCGCTCGGCCGACCGGCTCCCTCTAGTTTCCCACTAGTTTCTGACTGATTCTCGCCATTTTTACATATAGTGTGCACAGCTGTCTGTTCTACAATCCCTATAGAATTGATTTTTCATAAACTCTTAAACGTTTGGAGTTATAAACTTTTGTTGTCTAAATTTGCGCATATTTCAAATGCCATATTGACTTTTTTTTTTTTTTTTTTTTTTACAGTAAACTATACTGAAAACCTATATACTAAATATATGAAAATGAAGATCATAACCTATTCTGAGAGCATAATAAAACCAAATGAACAGGTGATGATATTTTTATATTTTTGCAGCCGATTTCAAAATCTGAAGTTTTCAATATTCAATTTTATTATTTTTGTATTTTCTTGTTTTTCAAGTTACACTAGTATCATTTAGACAAAGTTAGAGCATTTGCCTAGTAGATTATTCACAAAACATTTGAAAGAGTTTCAGAAAATTTAAAAAACTGAGTTCAATGTCACACATCGTAGGAGGTTTTGTGCAGTTTAACCCTTTAACTGCGCGGCCTATAAATATGACACCCTCCCTGTGCGCAAGAAATAAATTCTTGGAAAAAAATTCTTTTTAGGTCTGAAAGTATTAAAAACTCCTCCCTGTATATGGGTATAGCAACGGAATTTTGAAATTGTACTTACTTTGGCTGCTATGGGGTCCATAAGGTGGCGTGTGACATCATTCCCTGTGCGCCCATGCAGTAAGCTCCCGGGGCGGGGCGCGCGAGTTGCAGCGAATATATTTTTGTTCATTTTTTGCGCACAGTTCCAAATACATTTTATTTGTTTTTATGTGCTAATCCTATGTATAATGAACATGTACACTATATTATGGCAGTAAAACATCCGTACTGTACAAGGACACTGTGTTACGTGCATGACACTTGTGCACACACATGTTGCACATATTTACCATGTATCATGCTAATTTATGTATATATACAATCTATTTACAGACTATACACTGTCGCGCACTATATACATTCACCATTAACACATTCAGAACATCGCGTAGCAGCTGCCTTGTACGGGCCAAAAAACTGTCGTTTCATTACATTCAACGCTGGTTTTTTCAGTAAGGTTATTCAGTAGTGTGTAATGTGATAAATCTATATAATAAAATGGGTGAATCATCACTATACTCAAAAGTCTGGTGTGCATATTAGTGAAACAATTACTATACTATATTCTTAGAACAATAAAACTGTTATTACACTGTTTTTACTGTTATTACACTGAATATAAGTCATTTATGTATACAGTATAACTCTACATTTTCATGCACCATAATAAATCGCTAAGCATTTCTGGTGAGTGTAATAATCTTATAACTGGTTGGCAGAGTTTTGGTCTGTCTCAGCACATATTTTGCACTAATTTCTAACAGCACATTTGAATATATAATATTTTCTTAGCATTTTGAATATTTTTACCGTGGATTTTTCAAGTGCAATGTTGTATTGGGCTGTCAATACATGACATTATTTGTATCATGGAATGTATAGAATATTAGTACACACACAGATGTATTCGTGTCACTAATATAGTTTAAATATTACATTCTTTAAACAATAAAATGTACCGTTTTTTAGTATTACATTATATACACATCTTATATATAATGTAACTACATTTTTTGTTCACCATAACGAACCACTAAGCTGGTCTGGTCAGTCCAAACGGCATTGGGCCATCACATGCTAGTCAGCTGATGATGCTACCTCATCCTGTAAAATTCCTCCTCCCAATATACTACGCACATCACTAATTCTAGACACAATACTGTATTATCAGACTCCTGGTCACTAAATCCTGAAAATGAATAATTTTCCTCAAGTTTATTTTGTAAAGGAACATAAGTTGTTGTTTCAAGATGCTCAGATTGGTCAATCAAATCAAAATACTTTGGCTGCCTGCCTAGTGCTGTGGACACAATAAGTATCATTGTGTTCACTGATATCTGAACATTGTACACAGTTTATATCATAGACACTTCTATGATGTTATCATCACAAAATAGCAGTTACATATATTTTTGTCATTTTTAAGCGATGCTGTGGTCATAAGCTGGACAGCGGTGCTTTTAGCTTGTACTGCATGTGCAGGCTTGGGTTGCTCACTCAGTATTGAGGCCTTCACACCAAGGAACAGTGCCCACAATTTTTTTGTTTTAAAAATGGAGCCTTGAGAGAGCCGACATGAGCCCCATGTACCTGTGTGTTGAGTGTCTCATCTTTGTCTTGACTGATTGCAGTTTCTCCTCCTCCCTGGTAGGTCCACATCTCTCTTCTCAGCAGGTAGTTAGCTTCAGGAAGCCACAAGGGTCTTCCTCCCCCCCCAAAAAAGCATCGAATGTAATGGAACGATGAAATGCCTCTGTCTGGGTGATCCCCGGTGGCTCTGATTTCCTTGCTCCCTTCTATGTAGTAGTGTCATCTGCACATCTGCTCTAGAATTGGGAGTTCTGTCCTCCCCATCCAACTGGCAGAAGTGCTAATGAGAGCTCACTAGTTTTGAAAGATTTGATAGTTTATTTATATTGTTTGGGGGAATTTTGTGGTCTTTGAACCCAGCAGTGGTCTGTATTGGTTGGCTGACTTCCTGGATGCTTTCCTGGCAGGGTGGCACCCGCTCTTTGCACCTCTGTGAGGGGGGGGGGTCAGTTTTTGGCTCTGATTCCTGGTAGGCCAAACAGAACTCCAAGGCTGATGTGACCTGATAGTTGGGAGTTATCTCGGCGAGATAACTTCTCTCGGGCTTCTCGAGAAAGAGGCATTTCATTATACAGTATTCAATACTGGACTGGTTTTTCTTTTAGTAAAATAGAATACAATAAAAACAAATATATTACTTATTGACAATACTGTAGCAGCAAACCTTTAATACTATTTAGAAATTTACCAATGTGACTTTAAAAAAAAGTGATAACTGCTTCATAAACACTATATTATAAATGACTTGGGCTGGCTGGTCCCGGTTGAATCGGTAAGTAAAGAGTTAAATTTACAGTTATAGAGTAATTTATAAATTACTGAAAAGTTGTGTTTGTTTGCAGAGAGCCCAAACTGAAGCTGTTACATTCTTAGGGAACCAAGACAATGGCAGAACACTGTATGCTGTGCCAGGATTGGACTACATTGGACACGAAGATGTGATGCCGTATGTTGCAGTAAGTAAGAAGCCTATCAGACATGATTTGTTTGATAAGTTTCTTGCATATTCCTCAGAGAAAGGTTAGTTTCAATTCAAGTAATGTTATGCACCACATATTGTATTACATAATTATTTTTAAACGGAACTTACCTTGAATCTTTTTATTGTTATCTCCATAGGGTACAGTCAGTATATTCTGGTTCAGCCATGTATATAAATTGTGTTTGCAAACTACTGATTTTGTTCGAAGGATTTCTGCCAAGTTATATTATGTTTGTACTTGTCATGAATTGAGATATAGAAGATTCTTGGTCAGTAAGTCATTGATGCAGTAAATAAGAAATTTGTTTTTGTATGTCATATTTCAGGCATGTCATGCACTATATATTTTATTACTTGTAAAAGTGTCATAAACTGATTATATTAGGAACTTATAAGCAACTAAATACAGTATCATCCAGAATATTAATCATTTCTATTGCCTTTCTTAGACCCTCCATTTTCTGCTCGTGAAACACTGATGGCATGGCAGGAGCGTAACCACCCATGGCTGGAACTCTCAGATGTACACAAGGAAACCACAGAGAACATTAGAGTCACAGTTATACCCTTTTATATGGGATGTAGAGAATCGCAGAATGCTAATGTTTATTGGGTAAGTTGGTGATGTTTGTGACACATAAAATATTCACACAGTGTATTGGTGCCAGTGACCTAGTTTGTGTAGTTAGTCAGTCATCCTTACAAACAACTGATCACAGTACACTAAATAATATAAATTGAGCTGTGTGTAAGCAATGTCATTTACTGGTTTTTATTAAAAATTTTGTTAAACCTAATATAGAGCATTTCTTACAGTGGCGGTATTGTATTCGTCTAGAAAATCTAGGAGAATTAACAGTGCAGCTGAGAGAGAGACACTGGCGCATATTCAGCTTGTCTGGGACTTTAGAGACGGTACGAGGGCGAGGTGTTGTGGGACAGGAGCCAGTACTTTCCAGTCAGCAACCAGCCTTTCAGTATTCATCTCATGTGTCCTTACAGGCACCGTCCGGACACATGTGGTATGTTGAATTCCAATCATTCTTACAGTAATATAAGAACTGGGGAGAATCCATGGATGCCCTTCAACCATTCTTGGGCCTTTGTTCCACTTCAGGGGAGAAATGTTCCTATCTCCCCTTATATGTGTGAATTTGAATGCTCGGCTGGGTTTGGTTTTGGATTCCATTTGGTGCCTTAGAGTTGCCGTATTTGCAGGGTTTTCCATCTTCCTGCATTTCTCCTGTGATTCACATGGACTTGTTTCGGTACTGCTACGCAGTCTTCCCAGCTTGGTGCCTTCTCTTTATAATTACAGTATGCTTTTCAATGTCTCCTGCAGAATTCACACCTCTTTTTTTTTTTTCATTTTTGGTCTGTCTCAGCTTATTGACTATGGTGTGAGGTTCTGGGTTCATCCTGGCTGACTGATAACCCTCTTTTCCTTGGGGGGCTTCATTAGACCCACTCGCTTGATTGGCAAGAGGTGAGTTCTGTCTTTCAGGTGTTCTTGGGCAGTGCTGCTTTTTCTCTGCTTCAGGAAATGCCTGTTTGCTCCAGCACTCTCCACAGATATGGGCAGGTGGAAGCTCCATGTACACCTGATTGTGTTGTCCTAAGCTCTTATTGTAGATAACTGCAGGGTACATATGCACTTCGTGGCAGACTTGTATATGTGGATCCTTGTGAAGGGGCTCTTTTTGAGCATCTCCATGAAGATGTTGCATCACTTGGTTCTGTCCCATGTGTGGAGGCCTTGGGACTTGTGGTTCCTACTGCAATGGCCTTACCCAAGATGCTCGCTCCTATCCTTCAGGAGGCATTAGTAGCGGTATTTTCCTTGGCTTATCTCGTGTATCAATAGGCTATGTTGGCCCAATCATTAGATTCGGCTTGGTCCCTACCATCCTATTGACCATCACTGTTTTCTCTGGGTTCTGTCCTTGCTCAGTGGCAGTCTGGAAGGGTTGGGGCCTAGCCTGCTGTTAGACAAGGTAGCTCCTCGTGTGAGTTTGATTTCTGGGCCATTGCACTTCCTACTGCAAGTTCCTCTTCTGGTCTGTGTGGTGACTATGCATTGTGGAAGGATGGTTCTGCTCGTGGTTAACTCCCTTTTGATATTGCTGAAGGGAAGATCTGAATCATTTTGCCAACTCCTGGTCCCACAATTTGTGGGGGCCAAGCTTGACTTGTGAGAGTTTGGTCCACTAGGCTGTTGCTTGGAGCGGCCCGCAGGCCCACATACCCACCACAGTCTGGTTGGTCCGGCACTCTTTGAAGGAAACAATCTAGTTTCCTTGATGTCCACGGTTGTTCCTGCAATATTTCTTATGCTTGCTGGGAGGGTGTTGAACAACCGTGGACCTGATGTTTATACAGTGTTCTCTGATTGTGCCTATGGCACCCCTGCTCTTCACTGGTTCTATTCTGCATTTTCTTCCATATCGTTCACTCCAGTACGTTGTTATTTTACTGTGTAGATTTTGTACTTTGCCCTCCAGTATCTTCCACATGTATATTATTTGATATCTCACTCCTCGTCTTTCTAGCGAGTACATTTGGATGGCTTTGAGACGATCCCAATAATTTAGGTGCTTTATCTCGTCTATGCGTGCTGTATATGTTCTCTGTATTCCCTGTATTTCAGCAATCTCTCCTGCTCTGAAGGGGAAAGTGAGTACTGTACTGAGCAGTGCTCAAGACGGGACAACACAAGGGACTTGAAGAGTACAACCATTGTGATGGGATCTCTGGATTTGAAAGTTCTCGTAATCCATCCGATCATTTTTCTGGCTGACGCGATATTAGCTTGGTTATGCTCCCTAAACGTTAGATCGTCGGACATCATTATTCCCAAATCCTTTACATGCTTTTTCCTACTATGGGCACATTTGATTGTGTTTTGTACCCTGTATTATGTTTAAGGTCTTCATTTTTACCGTATTCGAGTACCTGGAATTTATCACTGTTAAACATGTTATTTTCTGATGCCCAGTCAAAAACTTTATTAATATCAGCTTGAAGTTTTTCAATGTCTTCAGCTGAGGTAATTTTCATACTGATTTTTGTGTAATCTGCAAAGGATGATATGAAGCCGTGACTTTTATTTTTGTCTATATCTGATATGAGAATAAGGAAAAGCAGTGGTGCAAGGATTGTACCCCGAGGTACAGAGCTTTTAACTGCTCTTGGACTCGATTTTATGTGGTTGACTGTTACTTGCCAAGTCCTATTTGACAGAAAACTGAGTATCCAGCGTCCTACTTTACTGGTTATTCCCATTGACTTCATTTTGTGTGCTGTCGCTCCATGGTCACATTTATCGAAGCCTTTGCGAAGTCCGTGTATATCACATCTGCATTCTGTTTTTCTTCTAATGCCTTGATGACTTTGTCGTAGTGATCAAGTAGCTGTGAGAGGCACGATCTTCCCGCTCAAAATCCATGTTGGCCTGGGTTGTGAAGGTCATTGATCTCCATGAAATTGGTTACCAGACTCCTAATCACTCTCTTGAATACTTTTATTATGTGCGACATTAGTGCAACTGGTCTGTAATTTGCCAATGCTTTGCTCCCTCCCTTGTGTAGAGGGGCTATGTCTGCTACTTTAAGTGCATCTGGTATCTTCCCCCGTGTCCAAGCTCTTCCTCCACACTATATTCAGTGCTTGTGCTACCGGCACTTTGCATTTCTTTATAAATATTGAATTCCATGAATCTGTACCCGGGGCCAAGTGCATGGGCATGTTTTAAATTTCTCTTTCAAAGTCTAGTACGCTCGTGTTGATATCAGTTATATTTACAGGGGTTTGGATATCCCACATAAAGAAATTGTCTGGATCTTCCACTTTCATGTTGTTTATTGGAGTGCTAAACATGTCCTCATACTGCTCTTTTAGGATTTCACTAATTTCTTTGTCATCCTCCTTGTATGAACCTTCACTTGTACGAATAGGTCCAATACTGGCAGTGGTTTTTGGTTTTGATTTTGCATATGTGAAGAAGTATTTCGGATTTTTCTTTATTTCCTGAATTGCTTTGTTCTAACTGCTTTTCTTCAGTTTGATACGAGTGTTTCAATTTCCGCTCGATGTGTTCAATCTCCCTATTTAAATTATTCCTTCTTTGATGGGAAAGTCGTGTCTGCTTAAGCATTTTCGTTATTTTCTTCCCTCTTTTATAGTGTCGTCTGCGTTCTCTTTCTATGTTGGATCTCTTTCTGGCTTTCCTCAAAGGAATGTGTTTTAGACAGACTTGAAGCTTCCGAAGTCAGTGCTTGCAAGTCAGGATTCTTTCCTGGAACTGCGTTGGGTCATTGCAGGTTGGCTTGCCTTCGGCATGGTCAAGGTGACCTATTCCCTTTTGTGGGTAACCTGGTTGTTCCCAGTCCCAAAGTGGGATACTCTGCAGACCTATGGCATTGCCTCAATCTTTTGGAATTGAACAGCTTCATTTCATGCTTGACCTTCTGCATGATTATTTTAGCCAGAGTTTGTCTGCTACTACAAACTGGATCTTGGATGGTGTCCTTGGACCTCCAGGATGCTTATTGGCACATCACTATACATCCCAGCTTCAGGGACTGACTAGATTTGATTGTAGGGCTGTTTCAAGGTTCTTTCTTTTGATTTTAATCTGGCCCCATGTGCATTTGCAAAGTTGATGGAGGTCATTGTGGCCTAGATACCTTTCTTAGGGTTGATATGTTGGCCTACCTTCACGAGTGGCTGATTTGGGCTCACACTCGTTCCACATGTCAGCTAACCAGGGATCTGGTTCCTTGGGAAATGACAGAAGTCCCATTTGGTTTTGTCCATGGCTGGGCCTTGTTTGGTATTCTTGGCCAGCTTCTCTGTCCCTATATCCACCAGGTTTGTCATCATCAGTTGGACTTGCTCTGGGTGACTCTTCTGTTGCTCGAGTATTTGTGCAGGAGCCTGAACTTTGCCCGTGTTTTCCCACTAGGCGGGTTTTGGCTTAGAGGGTCCAGATGGGGGGTACATAATTTGTTGTTTGGTGGCAGCTCTTTTGCTACCTGTGGGCCACTGGTTCTGCCTCAGTTGATGCATTCTTTAGTGATCCTGTTCCCTTGGTTCCCTGTTCCAAGACTCGCATTTCTCAGGTTGTCTGCAGTGTTAATTAATAATCCTGGTACTGCACAGCCTTCACATGAGATCCTTCCATACTAGTACTGTATAAGAAGATAAAATAATTTTTTGGAAAGAATTTATATTCGGCGCACCACAGGTGTCGTATTTTAATGCAGAGCAGTTCAGTGGTCAAGTACTTGCGTATTTAATAATACATCTTCAGAAGGATCCTTCTGAAGACGTATTATTAAATATGAAAGTATTTAGGGAAATTCCTGTTTCAATTCTTCCTTCGTGGTCTGACACTGTCTCATATAATTTGTATGCTGTATCTTTATATTTTAAAGATTCAACCCTAGGAGGCTGTTTCAGACTTAATCAACTCAAAGGGTCCAATTTGCACTATAATAAGATAATACCAGCACAAGCCCAATATATAATAAACTTTGGCTACACTGATGGTGAGCTTGAGGATCATTTCTCTAAATACTTATTCTTATATATATCTGATATTCAATGTATATGATAAAACTGTTGTCTTGTATGTTGACAATTGTCTTTGCATGGATTACGAAACCTAAATTGAGATTTGAACGGTTACACCTACTTGGTGAAAAAATGGTAAACCAGTAAATTTTAAATTCCATATTTATGGCATCATTGAAAACTATTGTTCTTTTATACAAATACTGTACATACATAATTGTTTTTGACTGGGCAGCAGAAAATAACATGTTTAACAGTGATAAGTCAAATCTGCCTACAGTAGAAATCAGCATGTAAAGAATCTGGGAATAATGTCTTGACAACTTAAAGTTTAGGGAGCATAATCAAGCAAATATTGTGTCGGCCAGAAAAATGGTAAGATGGATTATGGGAACCTTCAAATCCAGGGATCCCATCACAATGGTTGTACTGTTCAAATCACTTGTGTTGTCCCGTCTTGAGTACTGCTCGATACCCACTCCCACCTTCAGAGCAGGAGAGATTGCTGAAATAGAGGGAATACAAAGAACACATACAGCATACATACATGATAAAACACCTAAACTTCAGGGATCATCTCAAAACTCTCCAAACGTCTCCTTTCTAGGAGTATAAGAGAGGTGTAAAATAATATACAAATGGCAAATACTGGATGGCCAGGTCTCGAATCTAAACAGTAAAATAACATACTGGAGTGAATGATATGGAAGAAAATGCAAATACTGTACTGTAGAACGAGTGAAGAGCAGGGGTACCATAGGCACGATCAGAGAACACTGTATAGACATCAGAGGCCCATTTCCAGTGAGCATAAGAAATATTGCCAGAACAAACATGGACATCTTCAAGAGAAAACTAAAATTTTCTTCAAGAAGTGGCAGACCAACCAGGCTGTGCTGGATATGTGGTCGTGCTGCCCACATTCTTGGAGCGGCCTCTAGGCTGCTCCAAATAACAGCCTATTGAACCAAGCTTTCACAAGTCGTCTTGACCCGGATTTGGGGATTAGAACAACTCCCAGGTACATATGAAACTAATCAAATTATCTAAACATTTCATCTTGATGGGTAGTCCTTGACCATTTCAATTTTAGGATATCTTAATGTGGTACTGAACATATTAATATCACAACTTACAGTCTTCACAAATGTTCTGCTGTATTAACTAATGAACATTTTCTTTTACAGGGGCACTTTTCGAATGGAGAGGGAAGATGGTTTTACTTTTGACTGTCGTATACCACCATTTTCCTTGGAAAGTAAACAGGATGATACCTCCCAACCCAGCGGTATTATCTAAGAAATTACAATGTATAGTTACCAATTCTAAACATTAATTAGGCAACATATTATAGGTCTCGGGTTCAACAGAGACCGATGTAATTTATTGCATACTGTAATTATTTATACAATAATTAAGATAAAAAAAAAAAATTGAGTGAAGATCCCCCCCTTGTACTTATCTCAAATATGGCAATGTTGTCAAGGCTGTACAGACAGTATATATACTGTACATATTGTACCTCACATTCATATTGTAATTAGATCTGTACCAAAATATCTTCCCTTAAATAGATTTAAGAGTTGTTCAATAAATGTTTATGATAAATTTCTGTTATTAACCTCATTTAAGGACAAAGTTAGGTTTCTGTTAGATTATTTTAGTCACCTGTTTAATTGTCATATATTGGGCTAGATATTAAACCTTAATAGCAATCCTCTGTATTCATTATCTAGTTCTTATCAAGATGTTAACTACAATACTACCCTGTACAGGCCATTTTGACATTACAAAAGACATGGATCATTCAAGAAAACCCTGAAATTGGTATGATGCATGTTTCATAATATTAGTGTATAATAAGTACTGTATTCACAAAGACGTATTTATCTAAAATATATGTATATACAGTACTGTATGACCGAGCCACTGTTAATGAGAACTTGGGGATTTTCCAGTTTATACACCTGTACCAGGATGTTTGCCTAATATTGAAGGAGGTCCAGAGCTGGCGTGGATGAATCGTGTTACTATTGCCTAATATTGTGTAACTTTTTTTTTCTATTTACTCAACTATTTCCAAAATAAAAAAAAAAGAGCAGTGCAACAGTTTATTAATGCTCCTCTGTAGGTATCATTTGCTGTGATTGGCTGCCAGCATGGCTATGTTTACCTGTGTGTATTACGTAGTACCGCCGACCTTCAACAAACATTTATATGCAGTATACAGAAGGGGTACTCGGGTCTCTTCCCTCATCCTCCTTTTTTTTCTGAAATTTTATCAAGAAGCACTTTAGCAAAGCTTTTGACAGTGCCACATGAAAGACTGATAAAAAGTTAGAGGCTCACAGTATTGTGGGGTATTATATTAGTTTGGATTAGGGCATGGCTATTCCAAAGGAAACGGTATAAATGGGGTTGTCAGAGTGGGAAAATGTTGTAAGTGTAGTACCTCAAGGCTCTGTTCTGGGACCTCTGTTATTCATAATATACTGTATATAAAATATGATTTAGATTCAGGTTTGAGCAGCAATATTTGCAAACTTGCATATGATACAAAAATCAGGAGGGAAATAAACACGGAAAAGGACTTATTACTTCAAGACTCTAAATAGGGGGTTTGAAATGGTCAAAAAGAGTGGCAGATGAAGTGTAATGCTAACAAATGTAAGGTTTTAAGGCTAGGTAATAATATAGTTACAAGATATGAGCTAGATGGTGTTGATTTTTCATTTATACTGAAAACATTTTCAGTATAAATGAACTCGGATTCAGAGAATTTTATCATACTTGAAATGGGTTCTGGGAGTTAATCACAGATAGCAATTGGAGCATTATTAGGGATAATTACACACAATTTAATCTTGTGTACAGAGAATACGCCACAAAAACGTGGCTGAAACAAATAAATCACCCCATACATGAAATGAAAGCGATGAAGTTTTGGTTTGCTCCGGACCCTTATCAAGCCGTGACATAGCTGGAGTGGGAGAATGAATCAATAGGAGGGTAGAAATTGCTTAAGATACTCTAACCTTTTGAGATGTATTTTATTATCACAATAAACTTACTTTAACTTGATCTTGAGTCAATTCAAGGCAAAATGGAAGATGAGATCAGTAAGTGAGGAGTGAGTGAAGACATAAAGCATGAAAGCTTTGCTAACACAAGAATAAAGGACACTAGAAGGCCTAGCCTAATAGCAGCTAAACAGAGTGCAGTAAGCAGGAAAGGGGAAGATAAATGCAAAAGGAAATAAACAGCATTAAATGTAATGAAGTGCCAATTACTGGGTGAACCCCGGTGGTTCCCTGAAGCCATACACTGACAGGGTCGCATCAGCTGCAGAGTTCTATAGGCCTACCAAAGGGCCAACACCAGAACCTGGCCCCTTCACAGAGGCATTGGAAGCAGTGACAGTACTTAACTCTCCTTCTCAGAAGAGTTAAGTACATACTATGTCTAAAAACATCCAAACTCGTTAGTGCAATAATTGCCGGGCATTTGACCACGGCATGTTTAAAGTCAAGTGGGGCTCTCACCTCCTTTTAAACAAACCCTTATTAAAATAAAAATGAAAGACATTAATTTTCTGAGGCAAACAGTAAATGAACAATTTGGCCTCTTGCCATCCCCAAACTTAAGCACAAATGACAGATACAACACTTTCTGCCGGCACTTTTCATTCTTCTATTGCAGAGCCTATCATAAATTACTTTGCAACCCTTATTCAACGTACAATACCAATACAAAAATGTGCAAAAGATGTCTTTTTGAGTAACCATAATAAAACCTTACCCTTAAACACTAACATAAATGTTGACGTTCATTGGCAGACTATCCTGACATGCAACTAGCAACTGATCTAGACCTTTAAACTTTCTTTTACTTAAAATGGGAGATAGCTAGAAAAGCTCAGGTCTTTTATCTTTTCTTATCTTTCAATCAATGTTCTTGCCACCCTTCAGTGCAAAAAACCTGCTATGTACTCATGATCTGTTTTGAAGGAATCACCCAATATTGAACAACACAGACCAGACAATAACTGAAGTCAACCTTATCGTGTTTCCTCTAGCACATCACCATCATTTTATAATGTTAACATTCCAGGATTACCTCTCTCCTGTAGAAAATTAATAAAATTATTATAATACCATATTGTCATCATCCTCTCTATTCCCTGTATGGATATGTCAAAACGCTCACATTGTCATTATTTACATTTTCAGGAGTATTTATTATAAGGGGCATTTTTTAATTAAACTCCAAGCTTTGTGCCAGTTGTAAATAGCATTGTGTAAGTTTTAAGGTTCTTGTGCTTTCATCTTTGCTATGAATCTTCACAATATGTAATTTAACTTTTCTGTACAGCCTCTTTGCAACATAAATTACATTGATCCGTATGTTAAATCTGTCGTCTTCAAAATATGGCTCACCACAAGCATCGCACTCCCGCACTCCTTCCCATACAACACCAAGCCAGAGTGCTGCCCGCCTGGTGAACCCTCATTTTCAGTAGTGTGCGCCATATGGTTGAAGACCCTCAAACTATACCCATTCATACTAACTTCACACACCTGCCACATACTAGCGTTAGTGTGTAGGAAACTTTTAAAGACAATCCTCGATCCCTGGTTCTTGTAGCATCTGTGAATAACCATTGTCTTTGCAGAAATCCTAATAATTTTCTTTTGTTATACAAGTTATTTTACATTACACTTTGGTTCATTGCAATCATTATGCACATAAGTTTCTATTTTGTTAATGTTATTTTTATTGACATCCTTTTTGTCATTCCCGAGAGACTGAAATATATGTTCTACTGTGTTTTACATAGTGAAGCATTTCATCCTGGTACTGTACTAATGAACATCAATCAGCTGCACATCAGTGAGAATTTTATCAGGCTTGTAACATTCTATATGTAAACAAATTGTTCAAACTTTAATGCTAATCTTTACATTTTTCAGATATACTATTAGTTTTGTAATTCTCGTGTGCTCATTACAGACTTGTTTGGAAAGGTGCAAACTGAATATATTTTTGGTTTGAATTTTAATGATAGCTAGAGTTTACTTTGAATTTCTTTTATTTGTTTTACTGAATTTCTTTGGTGTGTCCTTATTTTCCTTACTGTGCCACAAAATTAGGCAAATTCCCATTTCAGGTAACCATTTGTAAAATTTCACTAAATAAAAAATTATACAGTAGCCTGCTATTCTCATCTGTAAGTAAATAATTATTTCATCAGATTTGATATTTACTTATTATATATCCCACCATATGCATGGCATCCTTTCTTTGTAACTGTCACATTTCTCTCTTGTACCAAATCATCATCATATGCAAATTACCCTAAAAGCATTCAAATAAAACTTATTCATGTGTAAAATATGTACTATGGCCTTCACACTGAAAAGCTTGCAAACCCCTGCTTAGATGAAAGGGGTCGTATTTGATGGACGAGTCGTATACAGTTTTGCCATTAACTTGAAACTAACATGTGAGTATTATCCAGAACCTATAATGCTTGCACCACATTTGTCTTAATCAACTATTTTTGTTATGTTGGTAGATCAGAGGTTTGTGGAGGCAGTTCTTTAATGACCTTGGGCTTTCCACCCACCTTCCCTTCAATTTAAGATTTTAGTCTGAGTCAACTGGATTGGCACACACTATGTCCAAATAACTTTTTTTTTTTTGCCAACCTTACAGCCTGGAACAGTTTCTTGTAATTTAACAACCAATGGACAGATGGTGCACTTCTCTACACCAGTCCATTTTTATCAGGCTTTTATATTTTGTTTGAGGGGGTACAACCTCCTGCAATTTCACTTTGAATGTCTTCATGAACATTACAAAATCACTAAATTTTTCCCCAAGAATTCCATTTAGTAGATACTTAAATACTCAAATTATCTAACAATCACTCAACATTTACTAGGTAGCATGTAACAAAATTTGCCAGCGATGTCAAAGCAGGGAGTAATCAGGCAACTCAAATGAGGATTGAGCATCAAACAGACCAGCCTCTTAGACATTCATTTAATGGAATAAATACATAACTCTTTTGAAACCTGTTTATATGTCCAATGGTAGCGAGTGTACAAAGGAGTCTGGGAGGAGAGACCAGGTAACAAAGTAGAATACCGCTACAGAAGACAGCATAGAAAAAAAATTATGCAAGACAGCAGGCAGATGGTTTCATCAACACCTTGGTACCAATTTTCAATCTTATTTTTCACACAGCCATCCCTCCCCATCCTCCAAGCTTCAGAAGAGGATTCTATTTAAATGCCATAAGCACCCATTACACTTACAGAAATAAATCATCGATTTTACAAAACGTACGGAAATTGAGAATATAAGCCTAAACCTTTCTCCAATGGACAGACACTTTATTTTAAACCAAAAAGACACTCATCTTGTTGTCTGGTGCAGATGTCGAGTTACTCTGTCATATCGAGCTGCAGAAATTAAAGGCATCTAGACTAGCTCATCACAGATGAGCATTTGTGAAGGAAGGATCCAGAGTATGGGCTGGAACTGCATATTTGAACTACATAAAATGACACTCAAGCTCATTAATACATAGGTGGCATTTCTCTCAAGGTGCTCGTTATTTTCCCGACTGGAACAAAATGACAAATTACCGATTACAGCATTCAAAATAATCCAGAACCATATGGTGTAATTACTGTCATAAGAATTTGAAAAATGAGTCATTCCTAAAAAAATTACAATTAAAAATTAAAAAATACCTCCATGTATCTTTTGATGCTCCACTGAAGCATTAGAGAAAATTGTAATATTCAACTTTTACCACAAATGAAAATGCAAAAAGGTATTTGAGATTTCCACATTCACAAATACATATACACATGAAAAATCATTAAGTTCTCCTGGTGTAATATCAAATGCAGAAATAATTTGGATTTTGACATCACTGGATCAGTTTGAAAAAGAACAAAATCTCTGTATGAATAATTCATTAAAATATGTACTCATCACCTAGCCTGCCAACATCATCCCTCCAAACTGTAGAAGGCTAGTTATATTCAAAATTTATTGCATCTATTTTCCACAAATTTATAATTTGGTATAACTATTTTTAGGTCTGAGGGTAACAGTAACAAGGATGGCTATCACAGGTGTATTACTTCACTACCACCTATGAATTAATACCTCTGCCTGCAAGAAAGAGAAACTTATTAACACAAATGAGCAACAGAAGTCTTCTCCATCCAGAATTTACTTAAGTGAAATAGAAGAGAATGAAGATTAAGAGGATAACAAAATTTCAAGATGAAACAATTGCATCATTTATAAACTGTGGTAATAGCTCAGCAATGACCACACACGCAAGTTTGACTGCGCCGGGACCAAGCAGGTAAGCAGGTCATCACTCATATTACTTTTGTCCACTTCCAAAAGTTTCTAGGGCATTAATTGTCTCCAGGTTAATAACTACTTTTGAATGCTGACAAGTGACCTCATCATGCACCCAATTTCATCAATTAGAGAGATCCCCTTGACACTCTTTGTTAACAAAGAATATCACACTGTTTTTTTTTTTTGGGTCCAATCACTATTAAATGTTCCATACATTTCCACTGGTAACAATAGCTAGAAGCAGCAGCTAACAGTAACCTGCCACAGGATGTACCCAGCAATCTGAAAGTTTCTTATTCCAGGTCAATCTCGGCGCTCGTGGCAACAGTCAGAAGCTACGGCCGTACGTTTGCCGTTCCCGGCAATATGAGGGTGAAAAGAGCATCTGCAGAGAGAGCACATGGGAATGAGGAGAGCCGAGGTGGACTGGTTGATCCTCGGGCTTGCATAATCCTTTCCCACACCTTCACGGCCACACGTCCATATCTCTTATAAAGGAAGATTTCACAGCCTTGGCTATGCTCCAGTAAATAACCTACTCTTCACGCCACATATGAGTAGATTTTTCTGTAATAAAATCATAACAAATATTACAAATTAATAAACCTTGAAAAAATACTAAAAATATAAGAATCATATATTTAAAGTACCTGTTTAGATTAAAATGTAATTTACTGACCTATCTTCTGGAGTGCGGGCCAAATATTCCCGCTCTATGAGGCTTTCAATTCTCTTCTTGATAAGTATTGGGGACGGTAAGAAGCGGGATTTTAGCTGATCTGTTACCTCAGCCACCAAGTTGTTATGCTGGGGAGAGGGGAGAGAGAGGAGGTGGTCATGCATAAACTAATTATTAAGAATGATTCTTATTAATACTGCTGTTTTATTTTGTCATCCGCAAAATTCTGCATCATCTTGCCTTAATTATTTTGCAATTATTTTATGAAATGGCTTATCCAACATTTATTATTATTATTACAGCTTTATCCTAATTACTATGATTATGCACTGATTTTTTGCATTAAAATAGGTTCTGTATTATACATTATTATGACTAGCATTACAGTATTAGCATCAAGAAATATGTAATATCAACCCATCCTCTTAAAATGATAGTACTTACAGCAACTACTTGGCTGAATGTATAAAAATGAACTGTTGTACCCCAAAAAGTTAATGTTTCATATTAAATAACCCGAATGGCTTACTAAGAAAATGGAAAATTAAAGAACATAACCTAACTTAACCTGTCCAAGTAATTCTTGGCCTGATATATACTACAATATCTTAGACCTAATATCGTACACGTTATGTTTTGAGAAATGTTTTTACGTAATTCATTAAACCTGAATGCTTTAATGAACTAAAACACAATGATGATACATTTAATGATACATTAAAACAATGTTTTACTGAATTAAGTGTTAAGAAAACACAAAATGTTTTTTCATGTTTTAAGCCTTTTAATGCCTGCAACAAAATTTATAGTACAAAATATGAACATTGTTGGAGGCAACAGTTAAATTTTGTAAGTTTGACCAAATAGTTGCTATAAGTACTGCACTATCATTTTTGGAGAATGTGTTGTGTAATGTATAAGTATTTTGGAGAGTCAGATAATCTGATGAATTTACTAATCTACCGTCATTAATAATGAACTGATGAGTTACTGCAGGAGAGTGAGAGTGCTTGTGTATCTCTGATGCAATATACAGTGCACTTGTGTGGAATTATATACTGTCATGGACCAGTGCCTTTTTGTTATCTATAGCTGCATTATATTCAACTTTTTTTCTCTACAAGCTGATGCCTCCCCACACCATGAAAGTGAGAAATGTGGTAATGAATGAATGACACTAATAATGATCAATTTCTTGTTTCATCTTCATTGAATAATCATATTATATTACAAAATGACAATTAAAAATGCAAAAAAGAGTTTCATTTTATCAAATTGTAGAAATACAATAAACTAGGATTAAGTTTACTAACCGTCATTCGCCGGCGGGCCTTCATGATCCTGACGATAGCAGCTTCGATCTCGTGTTTGCGATCCTCATCGACTTTACTTCGGGTCTCCTTTCTCTCTGGTTCACTCTCGCCCTTAGCTGCCACAGCTTGGATCTTAACTCTGAAAACAACTGCTGGTTACTAAATAAAATAACTCATTTATATTAGTCACACTATTCCTAAAATTCAAAGCAGAATATTATAATGACATTTACATTATTCTAGCTAATGCACGCACACATTTCAAGTGCTATTACTGTCTCCCTGGCAATTATCTGTATTTTGCCCTACAGATGTAAAAATGGTTTGTCCACTCACAATGTACTTCCATAGCACAAGATCATTCCAATAATTGTTACCCTGTGACCTAACTCTCACCTCCACCTCCCTGACATCACCCCTTTGACTTTAAATCTACTTTAACTGACAGCAAGGAATATCGAACCTCGGGATAAAATCCTGACCACGTGTCTCTTGATTTGGACAAAATCTGAATTATGGGACTAGGCTGTTGGGCTATTGAGGTATGATCAGTGGCCTATGATTACAAATATGCAAAGACTTGCAAAAATATGCAGAAATTGTGTGTTCTAAGTATTCCCACTATTTTAGAACTCTCTCCTGCTCTGAAACAAAGTGAGTACCAAGAAGTACTCAAGGCAGGATGGCACCAGTGATTTAAATAGTAAGACAACAAAACCAACTGAATATGCCAAAGTTGGAAACACAGGAATCAGAGAAATATAAATATTGACATGAAGTGACAGTGGTAACAGGTGCAATGAACATAAGCCAGAGGTAATGGAAAACACCACCATTTACAGCTTCAAGAAAACGTAGAAAAGTACAGAAACACCTGGAAGAATAAATGCACCAGGGACATTGGCCGAGGCAAAATTCTTGATCTAGATCTCACTTCCCGTAGACTAACACTAGCTAAGTGCTTATGAATTTAATAATATAGATATGTACAACACAGAGAAAACACAAATTCCAATTGGATTACTAATGAAGAATGCATTATAATCCATCTCAGAAAAGTTGCTGTCAGCAAATGTTGGATTTAGTTACATGCATTATACAACATGTTAGTGACTTTACCTGTACAATTTGGATGTGAAAGAATCATTAACAGTAAACTCATGAGAGGACTCCATTTCCTTAGTCTTTGGGGTCTTGAGCAAAACTCGTTGGGCTGGCTTGCCCAGCGCTAGCGATTGTAACGCTCGAACAAGGTCTCGGTCAGGGATGTCGGTTTCATTTTGTATTTCCTGTCAAAAGTAAAGCTCATCAATGTTTGATATAGTTGCCTTTTAAGGATGACAACATATTATTAAATATTTCTACTTACCTCATGAATTTAAATAGAAAGCAATTTCTGCTTCAGCTAAACTTGAACATAATGCTATAAAACATGTTGACTTACATTTATGTAACCTAAAATTACTCAACATAATTGATTCACATATTTCATTTATATTCTTTACTTGTCTTCAAAATTCAATGTCAGTTTGATACTCTTACTTGATTTACTCTTTATAATGCACTCATCTCCTCAAAATAATAGTGTGCTCACTTTCCATTGTTCTATTAGTAGGGTGTTTCAGTATTATTTACATTTTCAAGGACGAATGACAGTGGGTTAATTTTACGACAAGCATAATTATCCATAACCGGAAAATTGTTCAACTATAATGTTAAGACATATAGCGTTGGTGCTGTTAAATTAAATCTTCAGTATTTTCAGCTAACAGCACAAATTAATATAAATATATAAACAAATAAAACTACAAATTGGAGAAGAAAATGAAAAATATCTCAGTTGTCACTCAATCAACATTTTGTAATATTAAAGAGCACAATAAGTTTACAAACCTCGTATGTAAGTTTATCCCTGGTATTAAAGAGCATAAGGATGACCATTTGATACGTAGACACTTGAATAATGTGTTTCTTGGGGCCTGAGGGTTTTCCAGTCACCATAACTGACGATCCTGACGGTGTTGCTGCTATGGCATTTGTTGGAGTGGTTGTGCCAGGGAGGCTAGATGGCACTAAACCATTATTACTGATTGTGCCACCTACAGCTGACGAGGAAGAAGATATACCAGCAACACTGCTTACGGCATCTCCTGAGGCTACAGCTGCCACTGATGCTACTGACCCAACCACTACATTAGCTGTTGCACAAGCACTCTCTTCTTTTCTTGAGCCATGAAATACTGCATTAAGATCTGCCGACCTAGAAATTAAAATACAATTAATTTCACCGCATCAAACAATGTGCCCCACCAATCTATGAATGCGTTACTTTAGATATATCAACAATTAAACTAATTTTCCATTTATCAGTTCATTACATTTAAATATCTGACACACTAAAATAATAATGTTTGGTAAACAAATTATAAAAACTGAATGATAGATATAACTGACGATTTATATATTTTTTCTTACCGAAGACGAAATATTTCATGAATAGTGTATCATAAGAATATTACAAACAATTGTGTGTAGAAGTACTTTTTTTTTCACTGAATTTTCAAGAATTTTTCTCATTGGCTGTACACATGTCACAGCACCAATTTTCACAAGCCAATGGATGGTTTGAAAGATTTTCTTTTGCTAGTTTAAGCTGCCATTTCAGTGTAACAGAACTTGTGTCCATTTTCTTTTCTTACACTTAAGCCTTTTTTCCTATATTTCCACCGTACAAAGTCTATTACCAGAAACACACACAGACATGAAAACATCAGCAGCACAAGTGAAACCACATTTATAAAAACAGCTTTTAAGAACCACAACAAATCATTCAGGTAACACAACACACAAATGAGACAAATATTAAAATATTAACCAGTAGCATGAAACCAGAACACATGCCGGGGATGACGCAGCATTGCGTCATCCACTTTAAATAATCGCCAAAAATCAGGTTTTTATCCGATTTTTTGGGGACTGGTTTTAAAATGCGCGCCGATGTCGCGCTGCTGTCTACACAGCTCCCCCCTCCCCTCCTGGGGAGGGGGGAGCTGTGTAGACAGCAGTGCAGCGACGTGTGACATCATGCTCGTTTCTTATAGGGGGAGTTCTATCCAATTCACTTGTTCGGCTTTTGGTTGCAATATTTTCACCAGAACAGGGGTTTGTTTTGAGATGCTTACCTTTCTGGGTGCCTGACCTGGTCAATGGCAGACATAGAATGCCCCAACCACATGGGGGTGTCTATAGGCCATTGCTCCCCATGCCTCTCTGAGGGGGCCAGGTTCTGGCTTGTGGTCCCCGGTAGGCCCACAGAACTCCATACATGACTGATGTCAAAGTCTGACATTAGCATATCAGCCTAGTAAGCTCCGGGGAGCTGAAGGGGCTCCCCCCAGAAAAAATTCAAAGTCCCAGGTTCTGCCAGTTATGACTGATTAATTTGTTAGCCAATTTAATTCTATCTTCACATAGTTAGGGACGGGTATGCATTCTCAAGGATGTAGAGGTTATAACAAAATCAGATAATAAACAAAGAAAAAATCTTCCATAAAAAAAAAAAAAAAAAAAATTGGACATTGGTGAAAGTAACTGGTATTACTATTGGACAATGTATTTGTATAATATATAACAAAATAGAGCATAGTAACATACATACTCATTTGTGTTATTGTGTATTACTCAGCAATGTTATAAAGGCACCACCTGCATATCCACTTTGTGGATATGCTGCTGGTGCATATCTAAACTACTTCTATATCTTCTAACTGCTATTCTTTGTGCATTCGGACAGGCGCTTGCATCTCTTTATTACTGCATTATCCCTCAGTTCCAGTTACTAGGAGCCGTTCTCTGTATCAACAAAATGTTGTTCTTTTTAAAAAAATTGGTCTAAAATCCATTTCTGAAAATATTGGGAAGAAACTTTCACGACACTGAAGCCAATAAGTTGGAGATTTGTTTAACATTTAATATTAATTTTCACATAATTCAAATATATTTTTGCTCAGCCCCAGCTTATACCCCCAGTTACAGCCCAGGCTGCAGCAGTGTAAGGGTTAATCAATTGATTCCACTACAGCAAAATAAAGAAAAAAGAAAATACCTTATTATGATCTAACAGCCCGGTTACCTTGAGATGGTTTCGGGACTTAGTGTCCCCGTGGCCCGGTCCTCGACCAGGCCTCCTCAGCTGGCCATAAGCCATAAAGCCTCCTCATAATGACCATAAGCCATATAGCCTCCTCATTAAGGCCATAAGCCATATAGCCTCCTCATTAAGGCCATAAGCCATATAGCCTCCTCATTAAGGCCATAAGCCATATAGCCTCCTCATTAAGGCCATAAGCCATATAGCCTCCTCATTATGGCCATAAGCCATAGAGCCTCCTCATTAAGGCCATAAGCCATATAGCCTCCTCATTATGGCCATAAGCCATATAACCTCCTCATTAAGGCCATAAGCCATATAGCCTCCTCATTAAGGCCATAAGCCATATAGCCTCCTCATTATGACCATAAGCCATATAGCCTCCTCATTATAGCCATAAGCCATATAGCCTCCTCATTATGGCCATAAGCCATATAGCCTCCTCATTATGACCATAAGCCATATAGCCTCCTCATTATAGCCATAAGCCATATAGCCTCCTCATTATGACCATAAGCCATATAGCCTCCTCATTAAGGCCATAAGCCATATAGCCTCCTCATTAAGGCCATAAGCCAAAATTCTTCATAGAAACAAACCTGATTTTTGAAATATAAATATAAAGCCTGTACTAGTAAATCTACTCTAAAAGTACTTGAAAACAAGGAAAAACAAACCCCAACTGTGGTTGAAGAGTAAGTTGTCTGCCACTGTGCTTGTTGAGGTAGAATCTCCGGAAGGCCTCAAAGGCACTCCTGGGAGCCATGGGAACATTGGCTTTTAGATTAGCTGACTGTGTGGGCCAGTACCCAGTTGTTAAAACTCGTACATAGATGTCAACGCCACATAAATTTGTCTGTTGAAATCAGAGCAATTAATAAGTCATACAAGAAACTAAGGATTTTTTTATCATAGTTGATAAAGAGATATCTCTGACCCCAGTTCCAGACAATACAATATTATAAATATTCTTAAAACAAATAATTATCATGTCCCACCTGCCACAAATTTTTTTGTTGCATCCAAAATATGCTATATATTGTTTTGTTATACCCAAACTTAGTATAATATTGCAAATACAACACACACACACTTGTACTCAATAACAAGAAGCACTGAAAAAGTGCGGTTAAAATTTTTTTTTTTTTTGGTGGTAAAGGCCTGTCCAATATCTACCAAAGTTGTAGATATGTTAAAATAATTAGGTATACTTAGCATTCAACTTTGAATATTGGAAATTAATCTTACAATGGAGCGAGAGCTTCTATGCAGTAACAAAAATAATCCTCTATCAATTGAGTTAATAGAAAACCCACACAGTGGAACCAGTCATTCTGGATAGATTCAAAGAAAAACATGTTATGAAAGTACAAGCCTATGTAGCCTAAAACTATTAAATGACAAACTTTTATACCTAAATTATAATTATTATTATTTACTTTGGTTCACAATAAAAATCGCTTCTTACACTGATTCCCAAGAAAGAATATGTTTAAGAACAGTGGTGTAATATACCTCAAACTGTTCAATTTGTATATATAAATGTGGTTATGAAAGAAGTCGTCAACTTTAGACTGAAAGCTTCAGAAAGTCTATCACAAAGAAAAAGCCATGAAATTAATTTAACAAGAGACTTCACAATCCCTACCCCAGCACTGTTGACGCGTTGTTTAAACTCCTCGTTAATGGTATTGGAAATCGTTACGTCCTTGAACATGCCCTCAAGCTTGGAAGTGAACTGACATCCACATTCAGTTTTAAGTTTGGAGATCATTGTTTTCTCCGAGTCCTCCGAGACCGACTTTTGAAGTAGAAGACGTTTGGCCAGATGCTGCTTGTAGTAACGCTCGAATACATCCTTCTCTTGTAAGAAACGGAACAGCACCATTGTCTTGTCTAATACCACCTCAATTTCTGCTTCAGTCATCTACAAAATAAGAATCATTAATAATCAATATCACTGTAAATAAAAATGCCATATAATTTAAGTCTAAGTACAAACATTGATTCATTTCAATATGAATTAACTTCAAGTATTAGCAGGGATGCATCCCCAAATACAAAGTGACCAATGTGTAGTATTTAGTTAAGGTTCACATAGGAATAACTGAATGCATTTCAGAATCAAACAACTTATTCACAAAAACATTAATGCAAAAGAACTTACTCCTTTAACACCTTTCTTGAGTTTGTCATCAATAAACAATGACAAGTACTCTGGCGATTTATTGTTTAGATTGAGGAAGTATTCGAAGTCAGCTGCAATCATTTGTTTGAATATTTTGTCATTGTTGAAAGAGTTATGGAGGAAGTGGTCAAATCGGTCCTTAAGGTCCAATAAATTCTGTAAACATTGGAATAAATTCTTATACCTGTATATGCAAGACAAAATTTAACAAAGCTTATATAACTTCAACTAGTGTATGGTATAACATGTTTTGTAGGCAGTACAAGTGATATACTTTCAGTAGATGAATTGAATAGAAAAGTACAAATTGAAAAATTTATTTTTAACAAATGATTGTGGTAATGCAAATATTAAAATATTTAAAGGTGGCTATCCACTTTTAAAGTTTTAAGTTATACACCATAATGATGGGTAAAAATATTCACTAACCTGTACAAATGTTATAGCATTCTTGCCTCCTTCTTCTTCCGCTACAAGAGCTTTACCCTGTTCTCTAAGATGTTGAGAGACACATTCTGCTACTGCTCGTAAGCCATCGGACACTCGTGACATTAGCTTATACATACATGCCAAATCTTCAGTCTTGTTATTCTTGAGCATATGAACAACTCCGGAATTTTCCATCTGTTTCAACAAAAGCAATCATTCCTGAACTGTTTTAAGGTCTAAAAGTCTCATAAATCCATACACCAAAATTTTCTTATATGTATTCGTCATTTAATTTTAAGTAAACAGACTTTTAATATTATTTTGAACAAATAAATTTTATAATCTACTGTGTATTTCAATATTTAAAGCACAACCAATGATGAACATATGAACTGAGGTTGTACCATCATCTTTTTCCAACAGAATCTCAATACACATACGAATTTAACAATCTTACGCTAGTCGATGCACTCAAGAAAGACAAATTTTTCAACAAATATCCCAAACACTGCATCCATACCTCCACAATAGTCTTCATATGTTTCTTGATCAATTCTTCCTCTACAACCTCCACAATGCGCCTTTCCGTAGACTCATCAAGATAATGCTTTGCTCGCTCCGCCTCCTCCATTATTCGAGCTTCTACTCTCTTGATATATACCGATGCACTGTTCTCAGCTAAAAACTTTTGACTTTCCATCTGCATGATCATACAATAAAAAATATACAAGTAAAATTCACAGAACACTAGAATATTAGAGATATGACATACAATGTAATATACAGTACATAAATCTCTCTAAATGTAATCATATTTAAAAACAAATAAAAAAACCTGTAAATATTGTTATGAGTATTTTATGATGCAGTATATCCAACAAAGATTATGCCCTCCCTCCCTTCCCTCTAAAAACAAGAGTAAAAAGAAAATGGAATTAAAAATTATACTGGAAAAAATGGAAGTAAAAAATTATACATTGAAGCATCAAAATATGGGGATTTGAAAATGATTCAAATTCCAAAATCCATAATGATTGTAAAATATACATTTTTCGAAACTGCAAATTTACCCTAAATCCAGAACAGCTGGTTAGCTTTCGGTACTGTTCCCTGGCACTGCAGAATGGTTGTCCTGATCTGCCATTGGTAACAGTGTGACCCAGAGCATTTTATTGCTATGTCCAGCACATTTTTGTTCTCAAATTAAATTCTCACAGGAAAACATTGACCCGAGAAGACTGTAGTGGTGTAGATGGTGCAAAGCACAGCATATTTTACTTGAAATACTGCAAAATCTTTAAATTGTAATGCCAATTGTGAGTTTACCAGTGGAGCTGTGCGAGGAGCGCAGTGTGGGTTTCGCAAACATTTATCACGTGAAGAGGCAACATGAAAAGCTCTTGCTCTTTTTCACAGAAAATGAGTAGCAAAGTTACTGCAAAGAGGAAAAGAATAAAGAATACTAGGTTCAGAAATCGTGACAAGGATACTGTAAATAATTTCAGCAACCACAGTGAAGGTGTCCCTATTTCTGGGCTGATTCCCATGGAACATGCCAAACAGTTTAAAATTATTGAACTATTAATGAACCATGAAAGTATACTTTATGATATTAAGCAAATTTAAGCACAATATAATTATTACATAATTTGTTAATACTAGTTTTTAATACTCAAATTATGTTAAAAACAAATATCAGATAAATAGCACTGATATGAGTTTTGCCATATTTGTGTGAGTACTAATACTTCACAAAGGAGCAAATGGAGAAAGGGCATGCTAGGAGTGTCATCTTCATCTACTACTTGCCAAAACAGCTGCTGGGAAAAATATCTAGAGAGATTTTTGCAACCAAAGGATTTGGTAAAGTGGGAAAGGTACGAGAACAGAAAGGCTGAAAATTTAGGGTGAGGTAGGTGGATGATGGAATGGATAACTTTCTCCTCTTAGTTTTTATTAAATCACCACACTGTAATATTATCCTTCGATGAGCATTTTGTCAGCAATTCTTGAGTAAATTCTGTGTTTACCTAGTTGCTTATCAAGTTATGTCTACAGGGAGTAACATCCATTTCTATCATCCCGACCTTACAGCCACTGTGCCTGGTTCATTTATAACCCCCGATATTCCAGTACAGTACTGTACTGTCATACTAGCTCTTGAACCCACTAAGGATTTGTCCTTCACCAGGAAAAAGACTCTTTAATCACTTCAGTAACATTTATGTTTTATTAATAACTCTTCTTGACCACTCTTTCAATGTCAACAATTTTAGTACACTTGACCTGTCCTTACAGCTTATCTTATCTCTAGAACCTGTCTGGTGGAAGAAAGAGAGGATAGTTACTTTCATTATCACTTCATCAATTAACATTAAAAAGCATTGCTTGTTCTTGTTTTATAAACTTTTAGATTTTGTCTCATTTTCTTAATGCACAATGAAATGACTGGGACAGGCTTGCACACACACACATAGTATGTGTGCATTCATAAACTGCAAATACCAATTATTTCACTCAGGTTTTCAGAAAGAGGAAAACAATATAATCAAACTAGCTGGGGTATTTTACAGGTGGTCACCGATATATTAACACTATGTTGTACTTGGGAAGATGCAACCAATGTACACTCAAAATGTGTTTTCAAGCATTGATGCATGTAACTAACATGTTAATTTCAGTAGTGGGTGGTCATACCTTGAAGCTGCTTAAATACAGTTGCAAAGATCATCCTGCACTACAAACAGGTATGGGGAGTGTAGGCATTACCATGCAGACAACACTACTAAGTCAGCTGTTTGCTTTAAGCCAAGTATGAGCTCAAGACAATTTGTTGGTACTTTCGTGAATCTGTAGTATATGTGCAAGGTTCATTAATATTTATATCATTATTGTTTCCTATTATCATGAACAGGAAGCCTGTATTTAGGCTTATCAAGGTCCCCTTGAGAAAACTACTAACCTTCTTATAGAGGCAATTCACAAGAATTGTCAAACTCATGGGTACCTATCTACTGCTAGGTGAACAAAAGCATCAGGTGAAAGAAAGCCAGCAAAAATCGTCTTTATCCTGCTCAGGGACTGTCTGCAACACTAGACTGAGAACCGATTATGCAGAACACCGAGTTGCAGGAGCCATTATGGCACTACAGGCATTTCACTTTTTCTGCCAGCATGGACAGTTTTCTTACAAATTTAAACTTTATATGATTTGGTAAGTGAAACATGCTTTCATTTTGCAGTACTCTCATTACTACTGGATAACAATATCCCAAGAAAAAACTAGAGCATTTCAATAAAATGCTCTGGATAACAGTGAATTAATGAAGTGTATCCTTCCATGGTGTAGCCCTGAATGGAAGTGTAATGGTCTGTGTTCAGACTAACCTTCTTCCTTCTCCCCTTATCTTGAGGTTATCGAGATGATTTCGGGGCTTTAGCGTCCCAGTCCTCAACCAGGTTTCCTTTTTGTTACACACCCCCAGGAAGCAGCCCGTAGCAGCTGTCTAACTCCCAGGTACCTATTTACTGCTAGGTAAGAGGCATCAGGGTGAAAGAAACATTTTGCCCAGTTGTCCCCGCCTCCACCGGGGATCGAACCCAGAACCTCAGGACTACGAATCCGAGGCGCTGTCCACCCAGCTGTCAAGCTGGTTGAACCTTCCCCATGTTTGCAGTCTCCCTTCTCCTTCCTTGGTCATTCTTCCCCTCCCCCCTCTGTTGGCCTCTTCCTGTCATAAACGGTGAAGTCAAAATTTCCCTTAGGCAAGTGGGACAGTCTCAGGCCACTCGCTGCCTCCTGCCCCAACCCCCCTATTCCTTAATCTTCGTCATCAGTCCTCTTTCCAATCTCTCTTCCCTCTCTCTCTGTCCTCTCTATAGCCATTGACAAATTAAGGGCCAATAAACTCAGCCAGTATCATATTTCCTCCTGCTCTGGGTCCTGGAGTAGTGAGATTTCTGTCAAGAGAAACAGAACCTGAAGTACACAGGCCCAGAGCCTAGTCAGGGAGGCCTAGGTGGGTGGAGCTAGTCAGGACATTGACCTAGAGCAAGACTTTAAATTCATTGGCTTGAGTCTTGAGAGGCAGGGCTTATCTGAGCCTAGGAACTTTAGAGTGGGTGGAGCTTGTTTTCCACTGATAGCTTGTTAAGAATATATTCGTTAGTGTGTCTTGGGGAGTAACAGGGAAAAGGTCCCCATCAGGGCCAGAGAGGAGCCACTCAACATCCAGTGGCCGGTTTTTGCAGGAATAAGGTAATGTCTGTCTGAATTTCTGGTACATCAAAGTAATTGCACAAAGGGTGATGTTGCCTCTTAGGGATAATTAGAGTAGGATATATTTCCAATTTGGTATAAATATACGGATCATTCCTAAATAAAGTGATTATTAATGTAATTTGTGTTTAGTTATCTGTTCCCCTTTTATTAATACCGAGTCATTTTTATATGTGGTATTCTCATGTGGTATTGGAAGCCCCTATATTCTCACTAAGTAAAGATTTACATTTTAATCTCCATGCGTTTATTATCAAGATTCATATGCCCTTGAGTTTCATGATTATTGATTTCTGTCCTTCCTGAATGATCAGTAATCTAAACACATTCATTTCAAGGAGGTGGTGGCAGTGTACATTTAAGTTTTTATTCATTATTTTAAAATTAATAAACCCTTCATTTGTTGCTTCCCCCCTCATTTAATATTTCAGATTTAATATTAGTTGGTAGGTCAGTGAGGGTCACAGTGATCTCTGCAAGCGGTGTTAAGCTTGGGGAATTGAGTGAGGAAGGGGAAGAGGAAAGGACGGGTTATTACAGAAGCACTACAGAAACTAACCAGCTGTTTCAGATTTCAGGTTCTATCTTTAGTTTTGTTATATAACTTAAACAGTATTTTGAAAACTCATTGGATTATGAATATTTTTGGACCTGCTTTTCTATCTTTAAGGTGCAATATTCAACTTTTTTATTCAAACATCAAATAAGACCGAGTTAATGTGAAAAGTTCCTTTTAAAGCATAATCATTTAGCTATGCCCTAAAGATTCCCTATGTCCCTGGACAGGATTATGCAGTCAGGCAGGAAGACACACCAACATCACAGGGAATATCTTAAAATAGTCCCCTGCAGTGTTATAATATGAGCAAGGAATCACTGGAGAATATTCAACTCAGCTCAGAATAATTGATAAGAAGTCAATTCATAACTCAAAAGCCCTATGGAAGCAGTCTTGACATCCCAGGTGGCTGTCAAACAAAAGCTCTTAGCAACATCTAGCAAGTCTGCTTGACCATCTATACATCTAAAATATATGCCGAGACTAGTACTAGATATACAAGAGATGAGCCGAGATGAGATAAAGAAAACTCAATCTAATGGCAATAAGAGAGGACCAGAAACAATATGATCACCACATATAAGATACCGAAAGGAACAAGCAAAGTAAAGAGTGTGTCTTTTTGAGTGTGGGGGGGGGGGAGCAAAATAGAAGTTAGAATTACAAATGAGCAAGAGCACTGTAAGAAAATACTAGTATGCAGGGGTGACATAATTTAAATGAGTTTGAGGCAGAGCATGAAGCAGCTACCATTCATAGCTTCAAGAGCATGGATGACAGGAAGGTACATAAGCACCGGGAACAATAACCAGGCTAGGCTCTCACCCTAGGTCTCACCCCCCCTTCAGAGTCTCACCTCTTTCAGGGTCTCACCCCCTTTAGGCACAGGTGTCAAAGCCCCTCTGTAGAATTATCCATACAATATCTTACATTTTCTCAATGCTAAGCTATGAGCTGTTATAAAATACTCAAATTAAAGCAGATACATAAATAGCAATACCTTTCTTTACCCTCACTGTATCTGCTACATTTTGTCCAATTTATCTTTAAACCACTTTGGGAAAACTTACCCTATAAAACTCAGCAGACTGAGCAAGGAAGGGTCTTTCAAAATCTTCTTCATATACAGCCCGCGACTCGATGCCTAATACTATAAGCATTTGAGCTGCATTTTTAATTGCTAGTCTGTCCACTACTTCACCTCTGCGCTCCCTCATAACCATATCAAGAAGTGTTTCTCGTAGATGATCTCTTATGCAACCATATCGGACAACCTGCAATATACCATATATATTTTATATTATGTTCACATCTTAATTTTCAGTTATATTTAGAAAAAGAATTTGAATACAGTATTTGTATCTAAACAAATTATATAGAAAATAGAAGTGTACAGTGTATTTACTGTAGAGTACACCCATTACAAAGAATACTAACAAACACTGTCAGACACTAAAGATATGCATGAAAATTAAATATTTAAATTTCTATGTCAAACTTTGTAACAAATTAATTACGATTCATCTTCAACAGATTTTCCAATATACAGTACAGTGTGAAAGAACCTAAAAGATACAGTAACAAAAAATTACCTGATCCCTAAAAATTATTAGCCCTAAGTTGTAGACATTGTCGACATTATTCTGTTGAACATAGACTCGATCCATGTACATTAGGATGTCCCTGATCATCACCATAGATGTTTGGTGGTCATTCCATGCATGATTTAAAGTTTGGAGAAAGTTGTTTTGTAAGGAAGCCAGTACATCTGTTCGTACCTGTCAAGCATAGATACACATTAATACTGTACAAAACCAAAAATTAAGTATATATAATGAGAAGCAAAGGATTACTTAATTTCAATACTACTACTACACACACACAAAATCCCTGCATTTAATGTAATGAAACACCTCTTTCTGGTAGTTCTCAGAAGCTCCCTGAATCTAATTAACCATGGAAATTGAAAACTCAGGACATTACATGAATTACCTACATAGGAAGTATTATACCCATACTTCAGTCCATCTTCCTAAAATGACATTACCCTACTTATGACAACTATTTGGGGAAAAGTACCAATATGTAGTGATGCACCACCAAAGAGTTGATGTTTGTATTAAACTTGACCAAATGGGAAATGTTTCTAACTGCAACATAGATAAAGAATTTACCCTAACCTCTCCCAGCAATCCTAGATCCAATGTATGCTACCTTAGGCAAAATATAGTACATGTATGTGCTATACTAGCCCTAGGAATGTTTTAGGGGCCGGATTCTGAACAAATATTTGAAAAATATGAAATATAGTATAAATGTTAAACAAATTTACAATTATTTCGCATTCGCGTCATAAAAGTTTCATCCCAATATGTTAAAAATTAATTTTATACGATTTAAACAAAATTGATAAGATCAGCTCCTATTAGCTGGAACTGAAGGATAATGCAGTACTAAAGAGATGTAAGCACCTATCTGACCCAAAAAGAATAGTAGTAAGGAGGGTTCCACAAAGTAGATATGCAGCTGGTGCCTTTATAGCATTGCTAAGTAATACATAGCAACACAAATAATAATGAGTATGCTATTATGCTGTATAGTATATCATATAAATACATTGCCAATGCCAATATCTGTTACTTCCACTAATGTTAAAAAAAAAAAAAAAAGGAAGGGGTTCTTTTTTTCCCCTTCTCCTTTGTTTATAATCTGATTTTGTTGCAGCTTCTAGATCTTGGAGAATGCATACCCGTCACTAACTATGTGAGGTTAGAACAACATTGACAACAAATAAATCAGCCACAGGTAGCAGAACTTTAACTTTGAATTTTTCTGGGTCGATTTTTTCACACAGCGGTACCTCGGATTACGAGCCCAATTTGTTCGGAAAATTTGAATCGGTTCACAAACTTTGCATCGGGATACGAGTTTGTTGATACACATACAGCCGACTTAGTGCATAGTGGCACTGTGATTGCACCTCGGTTTACCAGTGCCTCGCGCCCAGTGACTATCCCACTGAATTCTTTGCAAGGATTTACAGTTTTTTGTCAGATTTTTGGCTATTTGAACATAAATGTTAATATATATCTCGCCATGAGTCCCAAGAAAGCCAGAGGTAAGGTTCAACCTAAGAAAACAGTTGTGAGTAGAAGCAGTAAAGGATGTCCCTTCCTCATTAAGAAAATGTGTGAAGTATGGGAAGAACTTCAAAGTTTTGTTGAAAAAACTCACCCAGATAAAGCAGTAGCAGGCCATTGCATTGACCTTTTAAACAACAATGTGATGTCTCAATACAGACAAGTGTTAAAATGTATGGAAAAAACAAGTGTCTTTAGACAGATTCTAAGTAAGACAAGCAAGCAGCGAACCACAACCAGGACCTAGTGGTATGCAGGCAAAATGTGCCAGAGTGCACACACTAGAGAAACTCTCACTGCCTGATGTTATAATGGAAGGGGACTCCCCTTCCAAACAGTAACACCTCTCCTCCTCCCCCCTCCTCACCATCTTCCATACGCCAACAGGAAACATCAGCAAAGGTAAGTAACACTTTTTGTAGTGAAGATTTGGGTGAATTAGGTATAAAATTTACATTGAAGTGAAGTTTTTGAGGAGTCATAAACGGATTAATTCATTTCCCATTATTTCTTATAGGGGTATTAGCTTCGGTTTATGAACCATCTCCAGGAACAGATTAAATTTGTAAACTGAGGTACTCCTGTATTTCAAACTACAGTATTTTCTTTGCTTTTATGTTTTATTGGTGATTGGGGACCATATTAGGCCAAAATGACTTATATATAATATGCATATGTATCTCCTAAATCATTATAATTACCCCCATATTTTTTTTTGAGGGGTTATTTTTTTTTTACTTCATTTCAACACACATTGATCTACAACTTTCACATATTCAAGTACGAATGCCAAGCAATGTTTATTAAAACATACAAGACAATTTATAAATTAGAAGAACTCTATTCACTGTCATAAACTTCACCTTCATTTTCTTGGGAAACTAGATTTTTAACTTTAAAAAATCATTCTAAATTCAGTTTCTGATTGATTATCATAATTTTCACATATTTTGTAAAGTGGTTTGTTCTACAATCTCTATGTTACGTTTTGCCCATAAACCCAAAAACATTGGAGTTATACATTGTTGCATCTAGTTTTAACGTTTATTTTGAAGGGCACATAGCAAAACTTATTTACATCAATCTATACTCTCAAACTATATTCAAAACCATAGAAAATGAAGCTCATATTGCTACTCTGACACCATAATGATAAATAATACAATTTGTGAATTTTTTTTTTTTAGCGATTTATTGAAAATTGGCATTTTGTATTTTTTGTCTGTGTTCCTATTATTTTTTTGAGGTGCATGTTAGGATGGTGATCCATTAGGAAAAGTTGGAACATTTATCAAGTTAATTAAGCAAACAATTTTGGATTGTTTGATGTGGGTCAAAATGGCCCCTTCTGGCCCATTAAGTCTGGTTTTTAGGTTGATTTTTTCAGACTATATAATATTAAAACTACAAAGAGAACTTTTTGGCAATCCCTCACTACATATTGGTAAATTGACTAAATAATTAATATAAGCACTATCATTTCAGGAGTATGGGTCACCATATTTACATCATTTGTATAAAAATAAATAATCACATTTATTACTTAAAAATTTACTATACTGCTACTCAAACAAAACACACCTTGCATGCAGTATGCATATATAAAAAACACTAATTTATTTATTTTTCTAATCTTGCCCATGTATAGATAAGGTTGTATAAATTTTATCATCACTTATCGAACTGTTGTATTCTGAATTAAAATAATGTGGAAATGACAAACTTAGCTTGTATTGGCATAGAAAAACTAAAGAACTAATGATGACCAAAACAACCAAAATTTACAGATTTTTGTACTACAGACTTCAGCATTAGCCAACTACTTTCAGCAAGCTTTTCCTGCAGATTTTGCTTATTGTAGTAATCCTGCCCTCCACAATATTTTATGTCCCACAGCATCTTTAAATATACGTACTTAACTGTGTACTGTAGTACTGCATCGGCAGGTTATAATGTGTTAAAAGTATTACACAGAAATAAAAAAAAAAAGTAGAAATAAATATAGTAATGCTTTATTTTCCAATAATCAAGTTTACCTTGTTTTCCAAATGTTGTGTAACAACATCCCTGAGGCCCGAGTATAGTCTCTCCCCATGCTTGTGTAAAACCATGGTGTAAGCATTTCGGTACAGCTCCTCAAAACTGAGGCCACTGTTGTTTTTCTTCTGGATCTCTTGGATGGCATTTTTGAGCAGTTGCCAGATGCTCTCCACATACCGTTCATCCATAGTCATCTGTAAATGCAGGTAATTAAGCTTGGTATAAGACTATTAGAAATAAGAAAAGGAGTTCCTGAAGAATTTTTCTTGAAATAATACAAAATATTGTGTACAAAATATTGACTTTAATCTAATGTATTTTGCTATATTTAGTAAATGTTTTATAAGTATTTTTTTTACTGTATAAAACCAGTCATCATAACTTTTAAAGACTACAAATCCAGTACCACAATAGATTTCAATGTACAATCAGCACTTCATTTGCATGGTAATAGACAAAGTTAATTCAGTGAAATGCAGAAAGTACTTTTGTACCAATTTCAAAGTACACACGTGACTTATGTTAAATCATGGCTTAATGTCAGTTATCGGATGATCTGAGAGTCTACCAAATTCTCGGCAGATTATCAGATTCCCATACACATCAAACTTCTTGTTTTATAAAGTACTGTATTTGGAATGTATTCTTACATTATTCCATATCCCAGGCATTCTGGACTTCATTATCTATCTCATTTATAACCAGAAATTGTAGGGAGCATTAAATATCAAAGTTGAAATATGGGTTTTATTGCAATAAAGTGTGTAGAAGTCTAATTTTGGAGTCTTTGGAGTGTTCAGTAACCCAACTTTTCCATATAAAGTACATCACCTTTAAGTTTAATGTGCAAAAATTTTATGTTACATGTTTAACAGCAATGTAAAACCCCCACAAACCAAGGATTACCTGAACTATACCTACTGAAATATTAAATAGAATGTTATAGACTAATCTGAGTGACTTCAAAAGCTGAACAATTTAATTATAAACAAATTATTGTTCTATACTCTGTGAACATATTCATGTAAGCAACTGGAAATGCAGAGTTGGAGACTAATACTTGACACAAATGAATCAAAAATAAAAATTACCAATTCTATACACCAAAACACAGATTTAAAATTCTTCTTTTAATCACCAATTCATTATCATCATCATCTCTGAGCCATTTTTCACTTTCACTAGGAGGAGAAGCATTAGCTCAAAAGATATAGGAAAGCAAACAGAAGACGACAACATTCAATCTACTGTTAATTTAATTACTCCAGCAGCTTTCCTGTGAACAAAACACGACAATGTTCTTTGCATGCTTCTTGCTACTATTCATTTTTTTTTATAATTAGCATCTTTGTAAATACAGAAGTAGCATTTAACTAAATAAAAAATTGCCACCCCACCTGTGAGCAAAAAAGAGCAATGAAGACTACCCTATCTGGTAATATCAGATCTTAATGCTCAGTGGTTTTTTCAGAAACAAGCCACCAAACACTGCAGTAGCCAATGCCCGTGTCTAACCAGGGGCAGCACCGATGACCTGCTTCTGACCTCTATAACTACATGTTATATAGGTCAGAAGCAATATAATCTAATGCACAAAAGCTCTAAGATTTTAAGACATCTTGCATTACTAAACTAATCAATTTCAAAATAAAAAACAAAAATACCAATTATAATAATATAAGTAGGAAATAGAGCAAGAAAAATTATTGTTATTGATGTAAAAATATAAGAAGGAATATAGTACTAAAGTTTGTGGAAGTTCTGGTACCAAGTATTCCAGGAAATTGTATACAGTACTGTATATCTAATTTGTAGTGCAATAGCTTAAAGAGCTAATATAATCCCTGCAAATATGTGTACTACATTGTTTTGCATTGATTGGGTGATGAGGTAGCATAGGCTCTATGGGAAAGATACCCAAGGGAAAGGTATGTTGTGTTGATTTAGGGGCGACGACGATCGTGGGATCGGATGCGCCCACAAGGGAAAGGTATACAATTATCAATGTAATTTCAGTACAGTACTGTTTATATTGAATTTGGCAGGTTTTGCTTTACTGCTATCACTATGCTATGTATGTTCTATTTTTTGTATTAATACAAATAATAATGTCCCAATTATGAACAATAGCCACTCCACAAGTGCTGGATGTCAGATACAGTAGTACAGGTATTGGGTTCAGCCTTCCTTCCTTTGGAAAATTGAGAGAAAACAATAATAGACTATTGTAAACATTGTAAAGATCATGTGTGTGATTTTTGTGCCATCTTCAAGCTAAAAGCATAGGTTATTCTCTATTAGAAGTTACATATACAAGAGTTCTTTCATTCTTGTGATCACTCATTCATATTCAGATCTATATTCATATTCAGATATATTCAGATCACTCCACTAGTAAACATAGCATTTCGGGCAGGTTCTTAATCATAATTTCCTCGGAATACGACCTGCCAAATCGTTTAATAACCAGGTATCCATTCACTGCTGGGTGAACGAGGCTACAGATAAGGATTGGCACCCGGTCAATTTTCCCGGGCCAGGATACACACCCAGGCCAAAATGCTAGCGAAGCGCCGGGTGAGTGCTTTACCACCGTGCCACAGGGACTGCTATGAATGTAATGCATGCTATAGAATTTTTATTATTATTATTTTCTACCACAGACGTGGCCACCCATTTATGTTATAGAATGGTGGTGGTGTTTTAAATTCAGCTACTCAGAACAAACGTTCAAAGTAGCACGAGCTATGGTGAGCCTGTAGTGGACTTTGCACTACAGAATGTAATACAATCTTGTACTGCAATAGTGCAAAGCCTTATGGGCTTATCAAAAGTTTGCTGGTGAACTTAGTAAATTTCTGTACCATTTACAAAAAAATTTATTTCAAAGAAAATTATGTAACAGTACAGTACTGTATATTCAAATTAAATTGACTTTACTAGGCTATAACAAAAGTTGCAAATCAGGTTTCATTTAGATACTGTACTTTAAATTTGAGTTCAAATAGCTAATTTGTGGACCAAGTTTACATGAACTCTGATACACTTGATTACTGTATCTTTCCACATGAAACCTTCAGGAGTTCTTTAATAATTTCAAAATATAGTGAGGAGGTAAGTGTCTCATTATATTAGGTAAGGGCTTCCTAGATCACAACCCAGGCATTCATAATATTGACATTTAAACACCTTATACTTGACATGTGCACACTGACAGTCTCAGGTTAATGGAGAACAGTACATATTTTGTGCAATATTAAAGTATTCCCCCAAAAAACAATATAATTTAATGATTTGGCAAAAAAGGCACTTTTCACACCATGAAAACATCCTTTTAAACATTCCCAAAATACTACAAATTAAATATATGTTATAGATATATCTTAATCTATATACTGACCATAGTAATCACTAATATATTCAAATAACTGTTGTATACAGTAGCGTGGCAGTGAGTCACACATGCTCTAGGCCTGTCCAGTCACTATTACAACACTCTACACCTCCCACTCCTGTGTATGACTAACAAGTGTAACAGAATTAGGCCCAAAAACATTTTCAAAACACAGGCCTATGGTAAATGTGAGGAGGAGCGCTGAGGTAAACACCACACCACACACCTCAAGCAAGGCCTAAGATACTCACCGGAAATGCGCGAATGCGCATTTTCTGATGGTCTTTTTTGTTTCCTGTTTTTATGGAACTCATATTCAAGATCTTTCGGTCACTTAATTTCAAAATGCACTGAATCCTTGACACTTCCTTCCCGAAATTCTTGGGTGTTCATCAAAACATTTCTTTAATGGCCTCTAATCAAAATACACTGCATTATTATATTTATTCGCATATTTGCTTCGCGTAGAAGAGTGCTCCAGTTCAAAGCGAGTGTTGAGTCATGGTGGTGGAGTATCCGGTAGGGAGACATGCAGGGTGTCAGCTCCACCAGCGCTGGCTAGGGCGACGGACAATGGTCGGCCATCATTGTTGATACACCACTTTCACACTACGCACCATAAACTAGTCCACATTTTATTGTTTATCTCGCTCCACGAGGCCCATGCCACGCTATATGCTCGCTCCGCCGATAGTTAAGTGTTTATTCTATCTTTGGGGGTCTGTTACGCGTTGGATATTGTATTGGTGGGTGTTATATGAAGCAGCGGAGGGATACACGGAGCAGCTGCTGGGGTTCGTGACGTCACGACGTAAACATGGCGCTCTCCTTCACCAGGGCATCAGCCGGTATACTCAGAAATCATGGAGTTTTGGCCCTCAGAGGGAGTAACACAATTGGTACTCGGCAATGTTCTATTGCCCAAACTCTGCAGGTCCGGGATAACATTAAGAAAAAGCGGCGTGAGGCTCTGGTTGGAGGAGGGCAGGGGAGGATTGAGGCTCAACACAAGAAGGTAAGAGTGTTGGGGGAAGGTGTACATCTTGACCCATAAACACTCTTCGTGGCCTTACTCTCTACAACTCTCATTACACTCCCTATATTATGGATACGTTGGTGTACACTGACTAGACGCTACCTTTTTTATTATGCAGCAATCATGATAGGGCAGTAGAATTAAAAATCTGGATCATGGCAGAATAATCCAAATCTTATCTAGACAATGTTATTTCGCTTGTCATCATGCTTTTGCATTGTTTTGAAGCCAAAATCCAATGTTACATTCCATATTTTGCATCTGAACAGCATAGTGCCACATGGGTTTACCCATGTAGTGCAGTGCCAAATCTACATAAGATGATTTTTGGGTTAGGCTTTTGAACCTTAGCTGAACTATTAGCATACAAGGTCATGGGACACAGCAGCATTCAGAAATAAGATAATATAAAATGCCATAACTATGCATTTCACCTAAAACTGGCATGAAAGGACATTGGTGAGCAGTATAACATTTAGGTCAATCCCTTATGTGCCAGGTTTTGAACTTTACATTTGAATGTCTGAGCTAAGCTAAGAATCTAGCATATTAGGTTCGTGTATACCTTTGCTACAGTGAGATTTCAGTTAAGACCATAACTTGTATTTAGTATGGTACTAGGTTCACATACTAGGATTTATGATAAACAATAATATCTTTAGTGATGTATTTAACACCTTGGCTTATATATAAATCCTAACTATACTATATTGTATATTTTCTAATGGTTTAGTATACTGTACTAACTATACAGTATGCTTCAAATATTCTTAATATATATACACTGTAATGGGTTGGGCTGGGTTAGATTTTAAAAATATGTTCGTGTACATTTTTCATGTAAGTGAACCATATGCTTTATAGAGTATGATATAGACTTTCTTTTTCAGTCTCGGTTTAGATGTGTACTCAACATTCTTCACGTGGAATTTCTTGGAGTCTACTGTTTTGCTTACATGCACAGATTTTCCCACAATAATAACAAAGCTTTTCATTGAGTTGTCCTGAGTGCTTGGCTTCAGTGGATGTTTTGGTAGACCATTCTCATTGGTGTCATAATGTGGAGATGTTGGCAGGTTTTTCGTAAAGCCTCATATTGTAGGTGGTGTCTGAAGCCTGTCATAAGTGGTTTTGAGATCTACTGTGTTTATTTGCAAGGTCTTCTGGGTGTGGTCCCCTTGTCTGCCTTTGGTCAACACCTGCTAATCTAATAGGTTAACCTTTCACCATCACCTGCTAATTGTATGCTCATATATGAGATACATTAGACAGGGGTGATCAGAGTGACATATTCCTTGTGGTTTGTCTCTCATCTTTCCTGTGTTTGAGACTACTAAAGTGGAGGATGAGTCACAGGCAACACTCGCCTTTCACATGCCTGTGACATCCAACATTCCAGCTGACCATTATCCATGGTTTGCCAGGTGATGTCTGAAAGCGGGCCATTAGTGGCTCATTTTCCCACCTCGTGAGGGTGCTTATCAGCACGAAACAATCCAATCTAAACAATCTAAGGTTCAGGGTCGGCTATACCAGTTACTATTTTCTGCCACTCCCCTTCAAATTTTATTTGGCTCCAGACATACCAAAGTGGTTCTTTGAATGTTCCTGGGAATGAGTGACTATGACTTCCTTGATGACTGGCACAGTTGGAGTCCCATTCATTGGTTTTGCTAGCCTGCTAGCAAAAGATTTGGGTCCTTCCAATGCAGCACCTGATGTGGGTAGGGCTCATTTGGGACACCAGGCCACCTTCCATTTCCTATTGAAGATGGCCTAGCTTAGCATGCTTCCCATCTCCAGCTGGTCCTTAAGAAATACCTTCTCACTAAGTTCTTAAATTTTGCTGAATCATTTGTCTTCTGGGTGTTGTTTGGGTTCTTCTATGTTGGAGGGTTCCAACATAGAACACAGTCCTCCTCTGCAGGGCTCGGCTGCCCATCTTCACTCAGACAGTGCTCCATTAGTGCAGTGCCTTAGTCAGAGAATGGGAGGGTTTAAATAGTCTCTTCCTATTAGCATTAGCTCATCTGGCTTCTAAGGCTTTAGTTCTATGATCAGTTTGCATTTGTGGAGTGTCAGAGATTCTTACAGATATTCTTCAAGTGCCCTCCCATTGGGATAGGGCAGAATTGGATGTGGACAAGACCTCCATTCTTGGAATATGCAAAACTTTTATTATGCCTCAGGTGGATCTATGTGCATCCACAGGGACCCACAATCTTCCTGTTTGCTGCTCCATTTCTTGTTCATGGATGCATTTTGTTTTGACTGGAACCATTGGAAGAGAATTTGTTTCTTTCAGCCTGGATGACGTTACCTGTTCTGCCGAAGTTGAAGAGTTTTGCGAGATGTGATTTTGCTCAATTCCATGTGTTTGTTTCAGCCCTGTTTTCTCACTCATCCCATCTTTCTTCTTAAAAACTGCTCCTTATGCAGATAATTGGCTGTTTCAGTTACACCAACTTTTCCATGCTCTTCATTGCTACTTTGAGACTTCTTTGAAATAGACTTCTGGTACTGGTACAGTACAGTAGTTTGTATTTGGAGATAAATTATGCTGTATGTGGTAATGCTCTTTCAGAAATATTAATGAAATTTAATTATTCATCAGGGCAAGTTAACAGCTCGAGAACGAGTGAAGCTCCTGTGTGACCAGGACAGCTTTGTAGAATTTGACATGTTTTCTGAGCACACTTGCACTGACTTTAACATGGAAAATCAAAAGGTCAGTACCAATTAGTATGAAATGTCTTCATAATATCATATAAGGTAGTAAAATTAGCATATTAATTATTGTATTCTTAATTAGCTTATTTGCTTTTGAAATAAAGCTGTTGTCCATGTTATAATTGAAATTGTAAAATTAAGAGTGTGTGACATAGCCGTAGAAGTATACAGTAATTATATAATATAATTAAATAATAGCCATGAACAGCATAGGAGAAAACTAAATAGATAAATTGGTAATTTAGATCTTTGTTAAATAGTTTTAGGTTTATAATACAGTATATTAATGATGCCTATCAACACATTCAAACTACTATACATAGCACCCCTACCTGTAGCACAAAATGATTTAGACTCTCCCACACATTTCTATATTTTGACTAAATACATCCTGCCTCCGAGAACCCATTTTGGATTTCTTATACTGTACAGTGGATTCTCAAAATCTGAAACTGTTGGAACAGAAATTTTGTTACGTTTAGATTGAGTACTTTGATACTAGACCAACAATACTACTTTTGACCTAACGTTTGATCAGTGTTATATTGTCAACATTGGATCTATACTAGTACTGTATTTACATTACCCTGATGCCATAACAGCATTATTTTCATTGAGTTAACGATAGATCAGCACTAATGTCAGATCACTGTAAATACTAATTGGTCAATGTTTTGTTTTCTTGATGTCTTATGATTTTCAGAATATTTAAAAAATATGCAATACTGTGTATTTTTATCTCGTTACTATTTGTAAGAATTTCTGCCAACAGATATACTGTATTAGAATTCATGATTCACTACCTGTCTTGAGCCTTATGTTTATCTGCATGTTTAGGCTAATTCAGAAATTTTTGTGCCTATATAAGGAAATATAGTAATAGGTTTTTCTTTAATTGTAAAAACGGTTAAGTTGCATGAAAGTAAATTGTTTATTGAGGTTCCCTATAAAGTGCCAAAATTAAAATTGCATACATGATTGTAGAATATAAGACTTTAATGGTTTGTTAGAAATACCAATTATATTTCAGTATCCAGGAGATTCAGTCGTGACAGGTCATGGTCTCATTCATGGTCGGCTCACGTACATATTCAGTCAAGATTTCACTGTCTTTGGTGGGTCACTTTCATCCATTCACGCAAAGAAGATCTGCAAGGTAAGAAACTGTAATTTGTATTGTTTCACTAGAATTCATACTACTAAAATCCTTTAGTAGAAATAATTTGAGTTGCACATCTTGCTAATAGCATTTCCTGTTGGGCACATTTCCTTTCACCTGAAACCTCTGTTCATTTAGCAGTAAAGACGTACCCAAGAGTTAGTTAACTGCTGTGGGTTGCATCCTGGGCAAGGTCATCAGTAGTTGGCCTAGGGTTGGACAAGGATAATCTTAACAGCCTTCCTATCCCCAACTGTTGGAAGCCACAAAGTAAACCATATATCAATTACTGACTAATTATGGTAATGGTGCATTTCTGCCCGAAACGCTGCGCGTACTAGTGGCTTTACAAGATTGTAATTACTATGCTATGTATCTTCACAATCCCAATGTACCTTCTTGTATATATATAAATAAATAAAATAAAAAATAAATGGTAGGATTGGCTTAAGTCCTACCACTGGGACAGAAAAACAACACATCACTCCTGAGTAATAAAGTATTGTACCATTATTCTTTACCCTATTCTTTTTTAGTTTTTTCTTTCCCCATTCATAGTTCTTCACTTGGATAAATTAAAATTAGCTGTTCACCTAAAATGTCCCCCATGATACAAAAATGTTTTAACTCAAATCTTGTAGTTAAAGTACAGTAAACCTTTCCTATGTTTGGTTAGATCATGGACCAAGCAATGCTTGTGGGGGCTCCTGTTATTGGTTTGAATGACTCTGGAGGAGCTAGGATTCAGGAAGGGGTCGAGTCACTGGCTGGGTATGCTGATATCTTCCAACGTAATGTTATGGCTTCAGGCGTCATCCCTCAGGTATATTTCTTGCTTTTTATTTACATATATAGAACTGTATATAAATTTGTCAAAATTACTAAAGTAAATATGCTGTGGAACATGTCAGGCATTTTGTGATATACAGAAATAACTTTTGTGTTTTTATGTTCAGTATGGGAAGCAGTCTCTGCTAATTTAGCAATTATGACCAATATTAAATTCACAATCCAACAGATATCTCTGATTATGGGTCCATGTGCAGGGGGCGCAGTGTATTCACCCGCTCTGACAGATTTCACATTCATGGTCGAGGACACCTCTTACCTCTTCATTACTGGTCCCGATGTAGTAAAGGCCGTCACCAATGAAGATGTGACCCAGGAGGAACTTGGCGGAGCTCGCACACACACCACATTGTCTGGGGTCGCTCATAAAGCCTTCCATAATGACATTCATGCTCTTCTTAACCTAAGAACTTTCATGGGTTATTTACCTCAGAGTAACCAAGATCCATCTCCCATCAGACAGTGTGATGATCCATGGTTAGTGATTAAACTTTAAATAGTACGGTGCTGCAACTACACATAAAAATATTCCAAATGTGTTTAATTGAAATATTTATTTTCTAATTGGTATTTAAAGTGTTGTTGTTTTGCTTCTGTTAGTTTTTACCTGTTAAATGAATGTTTTTACAGGGACCGTGATGTGCCAGGCCTGGATACTGTTGTCCCACTAGAGTCCATGTCTGCATACAACATGTTAGATGTGATCCAGAGCACTGTAGATGAGGGAGACTTTTTTGAAATTATGCCGAACTATGCCAAAAATATAGTTATTGGATTTGCTCGTATGAATGGGCGTACGGTTGGCATTGTTGGCAACCAACCCAAAGCTGCTGCAGGTTAGTAATATTGAACTACTTCATAATTATACGATCTGTTTGAAGCCATAACATTACGTTGAAGCAAATGTTAAGAAAGTCAGTTGCTGCAAAATTTGGTTTTGCTATACAATTACAGCTTTTACTTGTTCCCTTTTTGATAACTTACATCTCAAAAGATTTTATGAAAGAATTGTATTTTCAGTACTGCTCAGATGTTTTATGGTATTTTGCCTAATGTTTTCATTCCAGATTTTGCCCAAACATATTATATAAATAATAACTTAAACCCTGACCAGACATATTTTGGTAGAGCTGTATCCTAAAAGTGTTCCAAACATTTTATGGTTGAGCTTATGGCATTATTTGGTAAAACAGTAGCCAGACTCTTGTACAGACATTTTATGGTAGAGCAGTATCTTGAATCCAGCTTGTGTGTTTTATTATAGATCACAATATGCACACAATATTATGTTCTATGATTTATTATTATTAATTAACATCTTTATTGACAAAATTAATTACAATTTTGCCTAATCTGAGGATTTCAATTAAGTTTTATTAAAGTGAGGATAATGCTGGTATTCACTGTCACACAGGACAGAGGGTCATACACAAGACAATAAGTCTAAACTGTAGGCTGAAGCACATATACAAAATATATATTTCATATATGAAATATATATTTCACCGGTGATAGGTTGACATGCCTATCACCGATGAAATAACCCATTATGCAAAATGACAAATTTCAGATTTAAATTAAACAGTTTTGTTTTTCAAGTCACTCTTTATTGTGTTTATTCAATCAAGGCTTGTTATTGTTTTGTTTTTTTCTACAGGGTGTTTAGATATCAATTCATCTGTGAAAGGAGCAAGATTTGTGCGATTCTGTGATGCCTTTAACATTCCTCTTGTGACATTTGTGGATGTGCCAGGCTTCTTGCCTGGGACGGCCCAAGAATATGGTGGCATCATTCGTCATGGGGCTAAGCTTTTATTCGCATTTGCTGAAGCAACTGTTCCAAAAATTACAATTATTACTAGAAAAGTGAGTATTGCCATTCTTGTAATATCTAAAACAAATGGGCCAAAATGAGAGCATTGGAAATTAATATTTTTAGCAGTATTATAATATTGAAAGACATAAAATAATATAAACATTCATAAAGAATGTAAGATGGTGTAAACTTGGTAGAGTACATCAGAGTGCTGTGGTTGCATGGAGTGTCATTCGTATGCGTGTGATGGGGTGAAGATAGCTAGTCATGTAGTTGATATTGAGAACAATAGGCAGTGTGTACTTAAGAAATAGCTAGTGCTGCTGACATGAAGTTGTTATTTAAATGTTACAGTTTATGCCACCAAGGTGTGCCAGATGATGGCGAGAGACCACAAAGGAAGTAGATCAATTAAAGAAATAACTATCACTGATGTGATAATTTAACGGGTATAAGTAATGGGATGTTCAGGTAGAGTTAGTAATATCCATTTGTCTTGTTTAGCATAAGCTGAGATTACTTAACTATTTTATTTTTCTTAATTTTCTAATGGCAGGCACTTTCATTTTGTCTCGTCTTATTTACTTGAAAGGGAATAATATTAATAGTTTCTGAAGGTTACAGGTTTATTGGTCAATATATTGAAATTAATAGAATGCATGAGTTTTAATTAGAAAATGCAAGCCCTGCTTTAAGCCTGTAATTGCCTAAGTGTAATTACAAGCTGTCATTGATACAGTATGTTTATATTATTGTTTCTTATTACATTACATAAAGTCTACTCTTGTCTTCTTGTTTGTTAATTTGTCAACTCATTCACACACTATGGCATCACAACAAATGAGTACAGACACAGTCCAGCAATCACCCACAGCAGCACTTAACCACTAATTAACATCAGGTGTCCAATGTCCCTTGTAAATTGTTATATGCAGTACTTACAAGTCAAACATAAACATTCATGCCATCTTTGCAAACCTCTTTAACCTAGCATTGTCCCTTACCATCATATCCTATACATTGTTCACACATGATTCCCACCTCACATACTCCCTCACCCTGTCCACCAATCTTCACTCCTCTAATTCAAATGAATACAGTTTCTTGTCCATTTTTATTATTATCTATTCATTTGAAGTGTGTACATTTTCTTGATACGCCATTCAATCTTGCATTTTACATACGTTTGAACTTTTCATCTGTCCATGACATTTTCATTCCTTATTGTATCTATTCTAATAACACATGCTTCATAGATTGTCCATTTCTACTTTTAACAATTTTCTCCCACACAAACTATATAAAATGTTCAGTACAACTACATTAATCGTTTATCACACAATACCATATAAACATCATATGCATACACCACATTTTATTTACTCTAGTTGTTAATATTAAGTCTTTACTTTATGTTTAGTCATTTAATGATTTGTACTTTTGATTCTCCTTCTGTTTTTGTCTTGAGTAAAAGTATTTTTACTATCAGGCATATGGAGGAGCGTACGATGTTATGTCATCCAAGCATTTACGAGGCGACATGAACTATGCTTGGCCAACAGCTGAGGTAAGATATAAATTTGAAACCGAGTGTCACTGGATTTTTCATCTATTTAAGTTTTACTTAGTCATGATGCATTTTATTATATGGTATAGAGTATCAACAATGTACCTTTTTTTATTTGAATCAGAGCAATTTGTTATATAATTATATAATCAGAGGGTTTCATGAGATGCAGATTTCATGTTAGAGATGTTTATTCTGGTAATGGTAAAACATAGGCTATGTAAATTGCTTTAAATAAGTTTTGGTTGAGATTCCTACTGGTCTAGTGTTTACCAACTTACACTGCAGCAATTGTAGTCTGTCAGCTTCTGGTGAAAGTGCTGACCTTATATCCACTCCCAAGTCTGCTTTTTCTGTAGCTTCTTTTCCATTATGACAGATTCCCACTGGTCTCCTGTTTTTCATTTCCCATCGTTATTGTCATGCACTTGTTGGAGTTGAATTCTTACTTAGCAGATGTGTTGCTAAGATCTTCTTGCAGTACAGTATAGTGTACAGTACTCTAATTTTTCCTATTCTCATTAGCTTGGCATCATCTGCAACATACTACAGTCTTGCAATTGTAGTACTGAATGTAGAAGAATTGCATTTGATGTGCAGGTTTGGCACATCTCATTTATATTTGAGTGGCTGTGACAATTTACTTGATACACTGAAAACACTTTCTCTTTGGACAAAATGAAGCAATACTGTATGACAATATGTAAATAGAGAGAGTTGATGTCCCATATCTCTTTCTATTCAAGAGCTACAATGCCATATAAAGACAAAAAGGTAATGTCACTGCATAATGTATGACATTATGCAGTGACCTGAGACCTTTACAGTGCAAAGGCTGCTCTATCTGCAGCACGATGCTCATGGGATCACCTGGTGTCGGTAATAGGAAATCAGTAGGTGTATGTCCAAACAAATAAATTGCGAAAGTGGATTGCAACAGATATCACTGCTCAGTTTTGCCTGTAATTAAACAATATATTTGGCAGGCAGCACACATACATGGCATGACATCAACTAACTTCCATTGGTGATTCTTGTAATGTATATTCAAAATGATATGTGGCAGTTATGTCCATAAAGGATTTGTATAAGGATTCTACATGCCATCATGAATTTAAGATGGAGAGTGACCTTACTAGGCCTTTGGGTTAACAGAGAACATGAATGAATACAGTACACACAATTATTTGTAATTCAATTATGCACAAGTAATTGAATTACACACAATGTATATGAAATTCATTTACCTAATTACGTGTGTATATATTTATTATAAATCAATAATAATTACTCACAATTGATTTAACGTGTGTGGTAAACTTTACTGAGAGTGGTACATTGGTAAGACAGTTGGACTGCTCCACTTGACATTCCAACATGGCACAAAATGAGAATGTAAGATTGATTGATTGATTGATTGATGAGGATTAAGCCACCCAAGAGGTGGCACGGGCATGAATACCCTGTAAGTGGTAATTTTTTTTTTTTTTTATAGTGAATGTATAGTGTGTGATGCGGTCGCATTTAAATCGTCAGTCCTTACTGTGTGGCTGCTATTGTAAGGGAGGACACTGCTTGAAAATATTTATGAGGGTGTCCAGCTGCTGGACACCTTTTTTGACCAGAAGAGTGGCAGTGTTGATTTCTTTACGGTGGTTACTGCAAGATTCAGGAACTCTTAAAGCTCTTCTAAGGTCATTGATTGCTTCACATTTCAGGAGATAGTAAAGTAGTGGCTTTTCTGTTATTGTTTGGCAGAAGATACATTCCCAAACTCTGGGATCACCAATTTCCCAGTTGCATCTGTAACAGACGTAGTCTATATAACCGAACTGCTGTTTCCCTGTGGATTCCATTCAGGATATTTAACCTGTCTAATTTGGTGGCCTGAAGATTCCATATTGCAGAAGGCAAACCTTTGCTACTCTGGTGTAGAGGGACTTTGTTGAGGTGTGCGAGTTTTTTGATGATGGTGTTTTTTATGTGCTCTAGGCTGGGTTGGATTGTTTAGTGTATCACTGGATGATGAGTTCCTCAATTCATAAGTTTCATTCTCATTAAGCCGATGAGAATGTAGTTTGTCTGTCATCCTTAAAGATCATGAAGTGATCAGAGTCCGTACACACTTCACCCACAAGGTGAGGTGCTGATTGGTGTGGTGGCTGTGTTGCATTAGGTCTGGAATGTAGCTGCCTTGCCCAAATACCACCCACATGCATACAAAAAAAGTAAGCTACTCAAGCTTGCCCTGAGCTTAGAATAGCTGAGGAAAGGTCTTATTTGTGAAAGGATACAGTAAGATGATATGAATGAGGTTGGAGCTCTTAGCATTTATGCAGATGTAAAAAGGATGAAGCAGAGACAGTGAGTACTATTAGACATTGAGCCCCAAGTTCTCTAGAGCAGTGGTGCACTTCCCAGGTGCTTTTCTTGTCACCAGCTGAAGATGTTTTCTCTGTGAGATGAGAGAGAAGTGGGAATGGGTGATTGGGACTTGGATGATGAAATGGGCTGACCCCAAGTGGTATGTGTCTGGTCAGTGTGGCATTCAATACTGCTACATAGAGAACTGGATTCCATTTGGTGCCCTGCCCTTCTGGTTGACTGTTGAGGAAAGTGTTGTAAATAGATAGCTGTAGCACTTTGGATGGCCCCTTTGGCCTTAGGACACCCAGAGTATGTCATGTTTGGAGAGCTGTATTACTAGGAGGGAATATCCAGGATGACCCCAAACTCATCTGGCCAATGGATAACAGGTTCAGAAAAGATGAATGTTTCCACTGGCTCATTATTTAATGATACCAAAAGCTGGATCCCCATATACATTTCACAGTGGGTCCCTTTATGTGATGACTTCTGAATTTACCTTCAAACTGTGTGTGATTGCCAGAGATGGAAATTTGATTAACTAGTGTTCTTATTTCTCATTGGTGCTATTCATAAGTGTGAGAGGTGGATTTCTGCCTTCCACACTCCAAGAGTTATTGTCTAAACTCCATGAACATTCATTTTGCTTGGCAAGCACTAAAAGTTTGCCCACACTGTTATTGAAAGGCTAGTGGGCATACTTGTTACATTTAATGTCTTTCAGGCAGAGAAAGTCATACTAGATTCTAGTTTGTCCTTTAACAGAGTGGTAAAAAATGCAGGAAAATGTCCTTAAAGACATATTTTTAAGTCTTAATTCTTACAAAATTCTTAAGCATCTCGCATTAAACTTATGAAAAGTAAGATAGTACAGCATATAATTACAACTAATATTTTGTATGAATATTTATCCTAATAATTAATTGATTGGAATGAAACCTCCATCCTTTATCAAGGTGGTGTTAAACGACCAGAACATTGTTAACACCATTTTGATAAAGGTGCAGGTTCCATCCAAATATTTGGTTTAATAATACACTTACACATGTATTAGGTCTTTCCTTTACCTTCAACCACTTTGAAGTTGTAGAAAGTTTCTTAATAGTTTATTGTAATTCAGGTTGCAGTAATGGGAGCCAAAGGCGCAGTATCTATACTGTATCGAGGGAACAGTGATGTTGCACGGATTGAAAAAGAATACATGGAGAAGTTTGGTAATCCATTCCCTGCTGCTGTCCGAGGTAAGGCAGCTGGCCAAGGAAATGTTTACTTGGCATTGCTTTGTATCTGCAATTTGCATCAAAGTAATAGTGATAATTTATTGCTGCATGATAACATGTTAACACTTATTGGAATGCTTAAGCATTAATACAAACATTTAACAAATACTGAATCTTGCAAACATTATTACAGGTTTTGTTGATGACATAATTGAGCCACATACCACAAGACGCCGTATCTGTCAAGATCTGGATAAGTTAGCATCGAAGAAACTTCAGAATCCATGGAAGAAGCATGCTAATATTCCTTTATAAATGAAAAGTTAATAAACACATTATTACTGAGAAAGTTTGTTCTCTAGGTGTAGGACCTGTTTGTGTTTTACAGTCAAATTTTCCTCTTGCTATTCAAAAAATTATCATACAAATCTGATTATGAAAACAACTCGGTGTAAATTAAAAATTAGGCAACTTATTAAGCATAGTTAATGATTGCAATAGAGTGCTATAGATCATCATTGAGGAAATTAACATTAATATACAGAAATTTCATGTATATTTAATTTTTAAGATTGGCCCTAGTTAGTTGAGTAGATGGTTTTAATTAACTTCAGTAGCTTGCAGTATGATGAAAGTAAATACAATCTTGGCCCTCAAAAATATACTTGAACAATAAATGCATAAAATGTATCAAACCTTATTTATTATTTTGTACAGTTCTATAATAGGAGAGTATGTCTGATGACTTAACATGTATAGTACAGTGTGTTAATAATTTTGTCATCAGTTTTATTTTTTGTATAAAATAAATACGATATTTGAACTTCAGACTTTTAATATTTCATTTACTTGAAAGTACAGCTGTATTGATAGGGGTTGAACAAATACTGAATTAGTTCAACATATAAAAATACCAGTCATTTTTATCTATATCAAAGAAATTTAACAACACACAATGTCAATAATGTTACTGAAATTACATGAACCCCCCATGAAATTTCTAATTCCCATTGTCATGGACAGGAAACTGTATTTAGACTTAATGAGACACCCCTAGGCCAACTTCACAATAATTGCTTAATTCCTGTGTACCTATTTTACTGCTAGGTGAACAGAGGCATCAAGTGAAACGAAATGTGGCCAACTGTTTGGGCTAACCAGGAATTGAATCTGGGTTCTTTGGTTTCGAGCCAAGGACATAGAACATAATGCTACAGGACCCAAATGAAAGAAAAATGATGAGATTTTGGTCTGTTCTGGACCCTGGTGTATCAAAGTTTTTAGTTCGAATATGAAGGGAAGGCAAAGCAAAGGAAGTAGGCTTAGGATGAAAGAAAGTTCTTTCAGCTTGAAAGTAGGCTCATCTGATCAAATTTAAGAGATAGCCAAGATGAGAAAATGACTTGTAAAGAAGAGAAATTTCAGAACCAAGGAATTGAGTCACTGCAGTGTAGTTACAGGATGATGTAGTTCTGTTGAACACAGCAGGGGCATTCACCAGTCCAAACGGGAGGACTGTGAACTGAAAGAGATCTTCGCTTGTCATGAAGGCAATGCAACGCTTACTGTCTTCATCTAGTGGAATCTGCCAGTCTTTTTTTTTTTCAGATCAAGCTTGGAGAAGTAGCAACTGGAAGGTAATCTCAAGAAGATCTCATATTGACTGAACATTGGTTCAGCATCAAACTCTCTGATGGCGTTCAACTTCTGGAAGTCAAGGCAGATGCACACACCTCCCCCAGGCTTCTTGACTAAGACCATCGTGCTTGAGTATGGTGAGATCGACTTCTCTATTACTCCAGCATTAATCATAGATCCCAGTTCTTCTCTCACCTGTGGCACAAGATGATGAGGAACAGGATATGGATTTGTGCGTACCGCTTGCTGCTCTAGCAAAGGTATGCGGTAGCCCTTTACCTTTGCTAATATAGTGACATCAGAGAATACCACCTTGTACTCTGCTACCAGTTGGGTAATCTGATCGACTTGATCATCAGACAGCTGATTATCAACTGGTTAAGTGTTTAGTATCACAATCAATGTAAATATGTGTATTTGTGTTTGTAGGTCAGCTTAGCATTTTAAAAGCACTACAATCATCTGTGGTTGATTGTTCAATAAATCACTGAATTATATGTTTAACAAAACTCTAACCCTGTCCATGGAGGACAGAAGAAAATGTATTTATGCTGATTAGCATTGTAAATGTGTGGCCACATTTGTGGTAGAAAAAAATCACCTCAAGGGGTCCAAGCTAGTGGATCCTTTCCAATGTTCGGATGTTTCTTACACTTGTGCAGGTTACCTGCTACTATGTAACCTGACTGATTTTGCCTTGCAATCAGCTGCCCGATGACCTGGTGTACCACAGTTGTAACACTTGTGCCCGTGTCTATTGGAGGTGTTTCCCTGCCCCACCGGCACACCAGTCTTAGGCTTAGCTCCCTTGCCAGTACTTGTAGCGTGATGCTTCTCATGCGGCTTCACCTCTTTTTCACCTGTCTCATGGCCCTAGCCCATAGATCAGCTCGCTTGGCCATAGACAGATTTGACACAACTTCCTGCTCTTTGAACTTGATACAGAGAGACGATTCACATGCTTCCAAGAACTGTTTGCGAATCATCAGTTGATAGAACTCCCTGCTCCCAGGAGCGGTCTCCGTGAGTTCACAGTAACAATTTAGAATCGACCCTAACCGCTGTAACATGAGCACATATGTCTCCCCTTTTTTGAAGTTGAGCCCCACGGAAATTCTCTAGCATACGGTCTGCAGTGATGCCAAAATCGTTCAGCTGCGCTGTTGTCAATGCCTCGTAATCTCCAGGCTGGTGCAGACTCTGACTGTGGTAGATGGTTAATGCCCTACCCTTTAACAACGCACTAGGAGCGAGTGCCCACCTGCAATCAGCAGCGTGACTTTTGAAGCACTTTTTGCATGCATCTATTGAGTCGCCCTTATCATCAAAGTTGGGTATTTGATAGTCTCACCTCGTTCAACGTTCAGCCTTGTTGAACGACCACTCGTCTGATCATCCTACCTCGCTTGCGACTGCATGAGAGCTATGCGTTTACTACTCTCTGTTCTGCTGATTAGTCCAGAGTTTGATTTCTCTGTTCTGCTGATCAGTCCAGAGTTTGATAACTTGCTCTGCTGCTTTATTCCCTTCGAATCCCAACCTCCTAACTGGTCGCAGTATTCCTCTAAGGTGAATAAGTGCGAGCCTGTAACACCTACTCCTTCAGATGGCGTCGTCCACAAGGACCTTCTCGGGTGGGAATCTTCCCCATAGAATCCCCCAACAAAGTATTTAAAGGGCTTGATTCCCGTGCGACTGTTTTCTCTCGCAGCGTGCGTGATTCTAGTGACTTCACCCCACAGGGGTCTCTACCACCAAGTTGTCTCACCATCGATAGCCTTATCCAGTGTGATGTGCACCCCAATTCAGGGCCACTCTGCATATTTGCTTGAAACATCATGTGTTGCCAGACCCGCAGGTGTTGCTCCACTCTCTTTTTACACTCTTGCTCAGTAAGGTTCCGTAGTCGTCAGGTCTACGAGCCGTCAAGGCCAAGTAAATATGCAGATACCACTGCTTGAACTCTCCACACTTGGACATGCTTGTGGTGTGTGTACGTAACAAGGCGCTAAACGTCCTCTGAATACTGCTCATCAACTTAAAAATTTTCAGGGAAAATCAAACTACGAAACTTTACTCTACAACCAAGCTCCTGAGCTCCAACTAAGCCAATCACGTTGGGTGCCAGATATGGGGATTTTCACTTTTAATTCTGACTGCAATTGTGTGCAACGTCACCAATATGCATATGGCAGAAGCTTCACAAAGCTGTCGGAATCCAGCAAATACAAGAGCAAGCGTACAGGGCCTGGGAGCACGGTTGAGTAAGAGTCCTTGATGGTCTCCTCTCAGACTAGCTTCACCTGGTCTTGATCCACCTTGGTCGTGGGAATCTCCTCGATGCAATTGAAGCAATTTAAGGGAGTCCTAGGGTTCTCATCACATTTATAGTTTAATGACTAATAGGTAACTCGTGAAGGCTTAAGTAAGAGTACTGGCAGTATTTAGAGATGATTCTTTTGATTTTAGAGTCAGCAAGGCTATTATCGCATTAGCGAGACTCTTGACGTCTAACTAATCGATTCCGATCCACTGGTGGACAAAACCTAACTTAACACAATTGACAGTCAATCACTAACACGGCATGCCTAAAGTGCCGGTGTGCAAATGGTCACAGGAGTTCCAGACAGGATACTCTGGCAATAATCATACACAATAAATCAACAATGGCATTGTCAATGGGACAGACAATAATTATGCACAATAGTTATATCACACAATAACTAAATGTGTGGTGTTTGTTATAGATTGTGTATAAGGTCACACAAAGTACATAGGCGGCGGCACTTCCCTTAGTTCACTCTAGGTCACCGAGTCAATCACAGGTGATCTCGATCTCACTTTGTCACCAGAGGTTACCTGATACCAGTCTGTTTCGTTCAGGTGATTCAAAGACCTTTTGTCACTCGAAGGCTTTTAAACAATATAGTCGCAGTCGCGGTTCTGGGCAAGCGCTGTTATACTGCAAAGAACGCAGAGATTTAACTTGACGGTAAGGAATGGGTGTTGCGTTCTAATATATTGGCTGATAGATTAGAACGACACGTCAACCACGTATCAAGTTCCTTACGAGAATACAGTTGTAGGGGGTTGCAGGGCTCTCCTTGGACACAAACACCAGGTCTACAAACTGACCAATGGCATTACAAGGCAGGTAATATATTATATATATATACATACATACACACACACACACACACACACACACACACACACACACACACACACATACATACATACATATATATATATATATATATATATATATATATATATATATATATATATATATATACACACACACACACAGAACCCAAGATTCAAGAAGATTACAAATTCTTGAGGCAATTCACATAAGAATAGAGCGACATACCATGAACACCCAAATCACGGAACTATTTACTCTACCCACCATGAGAGTAAGGACAAGACAAGAACATATCGAGGCCAACACAGAAGACAATGTCCAACATAACAGGCCAATTACACTGGATTAATCTTTGTGTTTAGATAGGAGATGCCTCGTATGGGCCAATAAGCCTTCTGCAGCCCCTATGTTTATCCCTTATGTATCCCCCCATGTTTTTCACCTTCATTATATATATATATATATATATATATATATATATATATATATATATATATATATATATATATATATATATATATATATATATATATATATATATATATATATATATACTGTATATATATATATATATATATATACACACATATATATATAATATATACACATATATATATATATATATATATATATATATATATATATATATATATATATATATATATATATATATATATATATATATATATATACATATATATATATATATATGTCGTACCTAGTAGCCAGAACACACTTCTCAGCCTACTATGCAAGGCCCGATTTGCCTAATAAGCCAAGTTTTCCTGAATTAATATACTTTCTCTAATGTTTTTCTTATGAAATGATAAAGCTACCCATTACATTATGTATGAGGTCAGTTTTTTTTTATTGGAGTTAAAATTAACGTAGATATATGACCGAACCTAACCAACCCTACCTAACCTATATGCATATATATATATATATGTATATATATATATATATATATATATATATATATATATATATATATATATATATATATATATATATATATATATATATATATATATATA